AAGGCTGTTGGGTAGGTGTTAGGGACTGGGGACAGTGGAGAGGGAGGAGAAGACGCACGTTTCGCGGTTATATCTCTTCTCATCTGATCGTTCAGTATTCCACTTCCGACATTGATCAGGCGTAGCGAGGACATAGACCTACTTTTCTCGGTTCCGTCAGTTGTGCGACCGAGTTTATCGGGACTCATTACACACCGTAGCAACCCTTACGCCTGCCTCTCGCGCCTTGCAATACAACTGGTATCTAAACCCCTTGATGTAGTTCATCCCGTCTACGATTAAGATCGTATCTCTGGCTATATGCCTTGTGATAGCGGTGAAGAGAGTGGCGCGGGCGGTTTTTTCTTGAAGGGAGTCTGATTGGTAAGGGGGGGTATGTCAGTCTACTGGGCACGAAGGAAGGAAGAAGACGGAGACAGACCATCGTAAGACGAGCGGTCGACAGCCAGATCATCGTCTGATATGACTTTTACTTTGAGCTGTGGGCTCGGATCTGAGGATTGGAGTGAGGAGGAGAAGAAGTCGTATATTTGGGCTGCGCGGGTTGATTTTCCAGAGGAGGGATAGCCTGAGATGGTGATGAGGGCCATTAGCCAAGATCAGTCAATCAGTTAATGCTTTCGGAGTCTTCCGCGGGAGTTGTACGCGTCGCACGTGTCACGTCACGTGCGCCTCCTATGATCAAGATTCAAATTCAAAGTCTTCTCTCCGTTTCCTCAGTCCTCACAAGGCCTCCCATTCTGACATGAACACTGGTTCGATTTTTCCGTTTACATCCAGATCAACTGACAGACTGGCTGCCCAGCTTCCTAATCCCGGTACTCAACTTGATACTCTAGAGCTGACGTGAGTTATACTTCAACATTCACCCACTCTAAACCAAGATAAGTACTTGTCAGCAACTTGTCTTTTGCATTGGGATCTAGACACGCCGATGCCATTCGGTATTGCAGGCCCCACCTCTCTTTCGGAGAACAGAGAACACATCCTGAGAGGGTTCTTACCGAGGTATGCAAGACGTGGCGTTCCGTAGCTGTGTATACTCCTGCATTCTGGACTTCCATTTCAGTAGTGTCACATGAGTCCATCTAGCTCATGAAGAAGTACCTCGCTAGAACCTGTGACAGACCGCTCGACCTCTACTTGGACTCGTGGTTGGATGAAAGGAATTGGAAAGGACTGCTCAAGTAGCGGTTAGGTGTCCTCCTGAGAAGTTCTCAATGGAGGTGCTCACTGTCGTTGAAGCAGATGGACGAAAAAACAACATGCAACTGCTTCTCTCCAGAACAACCTTAGTTACCTTCCCCTGCTCAGACATTTCATAGTGCACAAAAACGAAATGGCAGGCTTCGAGGTATTTCGACTGGCAGTCCAGTCTTCATTCCATACCGTCCTGCCCGGGTAGATTTAGGAGTTAGTGTTGCCCATGTTGTCGCTGGTAAATTCGATGATACCCGATAATGTACCGGAGGTGGGATTTCTCGGCTTCATGCTCGATTTGGCGGCCTAGTTTAGGTCTGTGCATCGCAGAGCGCCATTTACTCTCGAGATACGCATTCCGCCCCCAGCAACTAGATGGTCTAGAGGGTTGGTCATTGTGAATTTGCCGCGGCGCTATTGGAGCTGTAGGTTCATAATTAAGCTGTGGTCATGACAAAAATGTAACTCTTTTATCTGAAACGAAGGGAATTCTGACGACCACTGATATCATAGAGGGTGCATCTGCAACATCGCGAGGTCTTTCGTTCGTACCATGAAATGTATCCCTTTCAAATGCAATAGGATATCGAGCGAGAGTGCTAAACTTTATATAAGACCATCAAAATTACACCACTTTCCGTATGTTACCCACCAGTGATGGCCACAGTATCATCATAGCACGGTCTGTTGCGCTCTTAAAGCAACACGAGGTGTATGTGGAGAGCGTAGTGTAGCTGGAGGAGTATCAACGGCACCGTGTGTAGGGTCGTGAATTCAAAGAGTCCACGTATCCAGATCTAAGATTAGCCACGAGAGCCACCTGAGGAACAATAGATGATAAAAGACCACCGAACAAAGGGGAGAAAAATCACGAAAGGCCACAGTGGATGAAAGGGAATCATGCGCCCAATTACTACCTCAATCATTTCACGCACCATGTACCCATCATTCGAGCAATCATGCTTGGTATTCGAGCAATGGGTCCAAAACCTCAAATCCCAGGTCCGAGCCTACATCATCATTCTTCAGCGTTATGTATAGCATACTAAAACCTTACCTCAATACCACAGATCGCCTCGCCCATCCAGGACCCTCAAATCGATATCCAGTGCCCCCCTAGACAAAACCGCGAGCAACATTACGGTTATCGCATCGACCAAAGTTTCATTGTCGCCTTTGAGAACGAGATCAAGAAGTTCATCGATCCCGCCGATTTTTATGATCCTTCGTGCGCTTCGTTCAACTCGTTGACTCGGAATTGGATTTTGAAGGAGTTGCGCCTCCATCAATTGGATTACAAGTGCTGTGTCGACCCGGCCTTGGAGCTTGAGGATTCAGTGCATGAAGACTCGGAGGGAGAGGTAGAAGGAATAGTTGATGAAAAGGAAGACGACGCAAAGACTGGCGAGGGCGAGGGCGGTGTAATTGGCTACGAAGACACCAAGGAAGACGAGACCAAGGCTGACGAAGATGTGGGCGACACCTATGACCACGAAGATGAAAAGGACGACGACACCAAGACTGACGAAGACCAGGGCGACACAACCCACTACGAAAACGAAAAAGACGACGATCCAAAGACTGACGAGAATCAGGGCGACACAACCCGCTACGAAGATGAAAAAGACGACGATACAAAAACTGACGAAGATCAGGGTGATACGACTCACTATGAAGATGAAAAAGAGGACGATACAAAGACCGACAAAGAGGAGGCCAACACTCATGACCACGAAGACACAAAAGAGGACAACACAAAGACTGACGAAGAATCATCGTCTCCCTATGAAGACGAAAAGGAGGACGAAGACGAGGGTTATACAAGCCACGGCGATGGTGACCAAACTGAATTTAACGAGGCCGACGACGAACTTGAACTTGAAAATGAGTGCAAGTACGATTCGGTGGTGGTAGTCATCTCCGTCTGTTCAGACAATCCCGTCAGCTTCCAAGCACGACCAACACAAGCGCAAATGGACATGATGACGACGTTGCTCGCCCAACCGCCCCAATGGTGGGTGAGCTATAGGGACATTTACTAAAATGTAGGAACATGTGAGGAATATCAACGTTTGTACTTACAAACCCCCGCTTCCAAGTTACCCCGCTTTTGTCATGTCGCGATTATCTTTTGTCATGGCATCAAACAATCACACCTGAAACAAAAATCTGTAAAATTGCATGTACAATACACTCATCGGATAAAACGACAAGTCACGACATTATATATATATATACCATTATGAACTCTCCACGGAAAGCAAACAAGAGGATGACGATAAAAAGATGGATGTAGACGTTAGTAGCATGCAAGGTTTTGAGTGGAGTTGTATCAAACACGCGGAGCCGGCGCAGCGCGGGTTATGCAATGCACGCGGGGTTGAAGCAACGTGCGCGACGAGCGCGGCGCAGGTGATGCTTGGATGACGATCGTGACCTTGGCGATGTATGTGCAAATGACGATCGTGTTATGCATATATGCAAGCGGGGTGTATCGGTACAAGGATGTCGGTAAATGTATATGCATGTATAACAGTGCATCACGAGCGTACAGGGGCCTTGACACCAAGTGGAAGACGTACAACGAGGTGACAGGCGTACAACGAGGTGCAAGGCCCATGTGGGGAATAATCAATCATGCGCGGGATACAACAGTAGATTGAGACGCCTAACGCGCCTACAAGGGCCGGGCCAGCGATGTATATCGTCCGGTCCTGGGATGTAAATGGCAGCGGCGAGAGCTCGCTGGCATAACCAAAAATCCTATAATCCTGAAATGGATCAGGAGAAAGTATCGCTACATTGATATTGTGTGGGGGTGGTAGGTTTTGTGGCGGGGGCGTGATGAGTGACGGTGAGTGTGTGATAGGGCGAGCGTATGTGATAGAAGACGAGGTGAACGTGACGAGGTGAGGGTGAATATGGCGTGACGAGAAGGCGAATGCAATCAGTACAACAAGGCAGCTGACAATAGACATGCATCATGTCGTGTGTGTGGGCATGAATAATCATCAGGCGAACGACGACCAGCGCATTCACCCGAGCGCAAACCGCAGTGTACTGTCCGCTTCCCCCACAGTCTGAGAAGCACCCAACGTGCCCATTCCTATCCCTTGCGGAACACCCATTCCTGGCCCACCCGAGCCTAGAACCCCCATGCTTTGCGCCCCACCCAATCCAAGACTCTGCGCCCCACCTAAACTACCCATTTGCGTCCCACCCAAAACGCCCATGCTCTGCGGAACGCCCATCCCCTCACCACCCTGCGCAGTCTGCGCCTCAAGCTCATACCACCCCGCACTCCCCGTCCCATCCCCTTCAAGCATTGCGAATAGGAAACTAGTCCATTCGCCTGGTACAGAGTGCGTATGGGTATGTGTATGAGGTGGATCTTGGTGTTCGTGGGTGTGGGGGTGATGCGGATCTTCGTGTTGTCGGGGTGGGTGTTCATGGGAAGGTAGTTGAGGGTGATGTGATGGGTTTTCAAGCTGCAGCGCTACCACCGGGTTCTCTACGTGATGATGCTGAGACATATCCTCTTTATGCAGCTGTTCCATGTTCTCCCTGTACTGCTCCACTTGCTCCCCATGCCCGTGCCTTCCCAAACTCAACCGTCTCCTCTCAGCGCCCTTGCCTCCATATACCTGCACACATCCCCACCTCCCCCACTCGCTCAGCCGTCTCCTATCGGGAGGAGTGCCACGCCCCATGAATGCGCGGGGAGGCTCGGAGAGGAGGGTCACGTGGAGGGAGGAGAGGGGCGGGGTGCGTGGGAGGGTTATTTGATGAGTTTGTGGGGGTGTTTGGGGCGGTGTTTGGAGTACGGCTGGAGATGTTTGGGGCGAGGAAGGTGTTTGGGGAGAATGTATCGGCGTTGGCGTTGGATGTGATGGTACATGGGGTACGGATGAATGTGTTGATGTTGAGAGCATTTGGTTGGATGGGGGTATTGAGGGAGGCGTTTGTGCGGGCGTTGATATTGAGGGAGGCGTTAAAGGAACCGGCGTTGAAGGAGCAGAAAGACGTTGGGGCGTCAAAGGAGGAGAGGGCGTCTGTCGTGGAGGCGAACATGGTGGAGACACACACAAGGGTCGAGGAGAGGGCATTGTATCCAATAACGATCGCACAGCAGGCGGCGAAGTAGATCTCGGAGGTGATGTGGGTGGTTTCTGTGGTACCGAAGCCACAGTCGTAGGCGCCGGTGGCAAAATCGACGGAACCGTAGGTGTCAAAATTGACGGCACTGTAGGTGTCACAATCGTCGGCACACAAGGCGGCAAAATTAGCCCCTTGCCACCCTCCACATCCATCAAAAACAAGCTCTCATCCCCATCCTCTTCATCGTCATCATAATCATCATCATACTCACCCCCAAGGTCACATTCATCCAAATCTTCATCTTCATCCTCTTCGTCGTCCATATCAAAATCGATGGCTTCGAACTCTGCAGACTTGTAAGTGTAGCTTGCGCGTTCGAGGTAGGAAGCGGGTGTGTAGAGACGGAAACGGGTGTTGGAGGGGTGGGTGGAGGGAGATGGGAAACGGGCGCGTGCTTCTGATGCGACAAGGGCTTTGATAGTGTCTATGCCGTAGCGACGAAGTCTGCAAGACATCAATGGGGTGAAGTGAAGAAGGAGAAAAGACTTACAGAAATTCTACTCGTTCTTGACATGCCAATTTCCAGATGTTGACTTCTCGATCGCGGTGCGGTGCTGGTGTGTATTCGTACGAGTTTGGTTGGGAAAAAGTACCTGGGGTGGTGTTAGATACTGGAGTAAATGAAGCGGGAGAGCCATACCTTGTTGGGGGTATCCGTTGGATTGGGTGTATGCATTGGTATACTCTTGGGTAGGGAATGCATTCCCGCCTGTATTTGAAAAGGCGTTGTCTTGTGACGGAGCAAAGTCGGGTTGCGACTGGGTAGGGATGAATTCGTGAGAGAAGCCTGTGGAGAAGGAGCCGGGATTTGAGGGGAATGGATTTGACCCGAAAGGCCCCGGAGAAGACAGCTGGGATGAGCCGAATGGAAGGGTATTTGAAGAGAAGGGGTTCATATCTGTGCCAGGGGGAAATTCGGAGGTAAATGTGGCGTTGGATGAAAAGTCAGGAGAGTTGGTATAGGGCGGGTCATGTGGAGGGAATTCGGGTAAAGGATCTAGTGGGATTAAAGAGTCGAGGTCGACTTGTAACGGCGACGACGATTTAGACTCTTGTGACTCGATCTGTGGTTGTGGCGGGGAGTCGTCATCCTTGGGCGCTAAAATGCTCGGTTGATCGGTGAGAATGTCACGAAGGGATTCTTGAGTTGTGACGGGTTGTATAGGAAGATCGATGATTGTTGGTGCAAGAGGTGGAATGTGGCGTGGCTTGGGCACGTTTTGAGCACGGGGTCTGACTCGTACTTGGCGCATGCGGCGACGCACCTCCTTGACAGCTCCGACGGTCCCGACGATGTTGGCATGACTTGTATTGCCGACGGTGGCATTGTCATTCTCTTTACGTCTCTTCCTTCGATGATGTGTCTCTATGTGGGGGAGGAGAAGACCATCCGAGTCAAGGGCTAGACGCCGACGTTTAAGTGCTCTGAGTGCACGTGGAGTGAGCTCGTCAGACTCGCTGGTTGAACTATCACCCTCTAGGGTATCTAATAGTTCAGGGTTGTTATTCGGTGAAGGACGTCGTCTGGTTGTATGATGAGGGTGTTGTGCTATTCGGGAGGAACGGCGTAGTACGAGGAGGTCAACAGCAGCCATAGAACGAGCAAACAACGAGTTTGCAGCCAGCTAGACCTTCGATCAGGAAATAGAAATTGCAAAATGAATCAAACAAGCCCAACAAGAACCAGCGGGAACACATCCATAATCAACGGATCACGTAATCATGCACGGACCATATCACGTGATCACGTGTATCATCCCAGGGTACCCTGAGCGTAGTCATTAGACGCGAACTGACAAGGTGCCAAGTATCTAGACGCCCCCCAAGTGCACTAATCAGTTGGCATACAAATCATTGTATGTCTACCATGAATGAGACCGGGGTTTAAACGCTAGTTAAAACTCAACCCTCAGCGGCCCCTTTCCTTGGTGTGAACTGACGCCGTAAGTCACTCAGACCTTCGCCACCATCATGAACTTACACGAGAGCACCAGTTTCGCATCCCGTTTGCCAACCGAAGTCCTATGTCATATTTTTATTCACACTCTCCCCAAATACAAACATCCCAATTTAAAATCGTTTCCTATTCTGCTCACCAAAATATGTCGTCGATGGAGGGAGATTTCTGTGGATATGCCCTCATTGTGGTCCAGAATGCATATAGATGTTTACGTGACACATTTGCAGCAGGCGGCCTTCTACTACGACTCGTGGCTCAAGCGCACACGAGGACATCCCATCTCCCTAGAAATCAATTGCATCACAGACGACTATATCTGCCTACAAACCCTTCTTCAGCCTTACATCCATCAAATCTCCTCTCTCATCATCGCAATTAACAATCCAGTGGCACCCGAAATCTTGTTCAACGACCTACCAGCACTTCAAGAACTTTCAGTTGTCTCACGGAGCTTCAGTCATATTGCGAATCATGATACACTACTACCTATCTCACCTCACATCTCCCGGCCCTCCACTCTACGCACTCTTAAACTCTATAGAGTATATTCCACCACCCCCGACTCCGACCTCCTATCTCGCCTCGACCCCGTATGGGCCCATTTGACAAATGTGGAAATCGGATCGTCTGCGGCACGCGTTGTAATGCGCTTGCTCCGATTAACTCCCAACCTCTCCTCATTTAGAATCTGCAATTTGTACGTTTATGGATCTCGCCTATGTAGAACCACTAACCCACACCAACATCCGATCCTTGTCCATCACGTTTTCTGGCCTTTGTACTTTCTCCGCACGAATATCGGCTCGCTTTCTAAACGCACTCACGCTCCCCAATTTACGTGTGCTACACATTGGAAATAGTAGATCTTGGCAGCATGAAGAGTTGATAGCTGTTGGGAGTGGTACGGTCGGATTTGCGATTGGGCTTGAGCAGGAACAGCGAGCAGGTGATACTTTTTATCACATATACTCGCGACGTACTGTGCTTGTACACTGTTCATGATCTGTCTCCTGTGTAAAGTCATATTCGACGACTTGACCTTGCCCTTTCTGTACACGGAAGATTCAATCAAGATGCTCGTTCCCGGAACCTGGCAGCAGTCCCATTTCGACCTCAAGGGGTCATCATGCCTCAAATCCGTATGAGCCCACCTGGTAAATGTTGAGATCGGGTCATGTCAGCCGCATGTAGTACTCCGCTTGCTCCAGCTATCCTTGAACTTCTCCTCGTTAAAGATCTGCAGTCTTCCCCGACGATCATCCCTTAGAGTCATTCGCCCACTCCAGTGTTCAGTCTTTTCACATCACATATCCTTTCACAGCAGGAAACTAATTGGCTCTGCTGGTCAGTTCACTCACACTTCCCAATTTACGTGTACTCAAAGTTCGCTGAGTACCCCACCCTCATGCAGAGTTGAAGGCATTTTTATACGCTCGGATTGTCCGTTGGAGAGCCTCATTCTCGGTCCCGATGTGCTGACGACATATGAGCAGCAAGCGGAATACATGGTCCTTGTAAAAAAAAAAAAAGACTTACTCGCATGCAATCATCAAATGTCTATGCCAGAATGCCTTGAAATTTTACATATACCGTAGTGATGTCTATTTTGTACACGTTATTTGTCTATTGGGTACAAACGGTGATGTATCCGATGTGACACTGGCAGTCGTTAATCCCCTTCGTTTTAGATCAGTCGTATCGGACAACCTCACCCCAGCAACTTTATTAACACTATGACTCAACCTCAACTAATTGCGAGTCTAGACCAGAGTACGTGGACCAGGCCTTTATAGCTAACGGGAAGATGAGACGTCCCTCGATCGTTGTGTGATAGATAGTGATCGACTTGAGCTGCGCCAAGAGACATTCCGTTGTTATACTCCCGGACTCTATCTCCATGGACAGCATCAAGCAAAACGCGACGACGGCATGATGAACAAGTAGAATATGCTCGACGCTCGGAAAAGCACGAAGGAACTTGGTTCCATGAACGAATGCAGGATTTGTGCAATTGCTCAGAACAAGTATCTTTACTTCGGGGAATCGTGTATCGCCAGAATCATCGTGAAGATAGGTGTCTGGATCATCCCAGAATTTGTCCCTTTCATACGTAGGCTTTTCATCATCCACCGGATGGAAGAGCATAAGACGATGAAGATGAGGGGCGAATATGCCGCTCAGAATGGAATGAAGCTGATTCAAGCTGTGGGGTTGGAGGATGAGCGTGCGTAGAGTTGGGATATGCACGACGCCGTAATAGGGACAGTCGGTAAACTCAAAATCCTGTTCATCGAAATCGAATTCTACAACATCTCCTTGAAGCTTGAGGAATTCCAAGTTTGGCAAAGACAAAAGTAGTAGTTTGAACCTTGTCCAGCTGGGTACGACATAGTCATTTTCGGTGTCCACCGTGAGGTGCGTCAAAGAGTTGAAGAAGGAGGACGTGCCTCCCGCGATGGCTATGCCCAACTCTGTGAGGGCAGGACCGGGGTGTGAAGCGATGTACGGGAAGCAATGACGAAATTCTTCGGGACCCGTTTCCTTCTTGTGCACTGTCAAATGTCTGAGCAGTGGAAGATAGCCAAGGTTGTTGACTCTGGAGAGAACCAGTTGTGTGTTTCGCACGTCCATGCCTATCAATGACAGTGAGCGCCATCTTTGAGAACTTCTCATGAGAACAGCCAGCCGCTGCTTGAGTGGTCCCTTCCAGATCCCTTCATCAGACCACGTTTCGAAGTAAAGGTCAAGCGGGCTGCCACTAGATCTGGACAGGTAAGTCTTGATGAGCTGGATAGACCCCGGCGGCACTACCGAGATTGTAGTCCAGAGTGCAGGAGTGTGCACAGCTACGGAATACCACTTCTTGCACACGCCAGTGAGAACCCTCTCAGGATGTGTTCGTTGCCCAAGGTCGAGATTCTCGAAGATGGTGGAAAGGAGTTCATTTGGAAGATCATCTATTCTGAACACATCTTGCACCCTATGTGACTCTGAAAGAGAAGTGGGGCATGCGATACCGGACGCGCCATTTCCAAATGACAGGTTGCTGACCAGTATGTTAGTATTAAATGTGTGTATGTTGAAGCATAACTCACGTCAGTTGTAGAACGATGTCCATCAAATTCGATACTAGGAATCTTAGGAAGCCAGCAGCTACTCTATCAGTCGATCTGGGTGTAAAAGAAACGTTAGTCAGTGTTCAAGTCAAATAGTATGGATAGGACACGCCTTGGAAATCTCGGTTGATGTGATAGGACATTAACTTGTCATTAAGGGTGGAATCACACGTGCCCTCGTACTACTCGTTGTAGATTCTTCAATCTTTCTTCTGACCGCCTTTCAATTGTACGCGCTGGAGCTTGGAATAGTACTACGAGCACAACCAGGAGTTTGCGATGATCATTGACTGATTAGTCAGCTCGATGCAGTCACGGCGGCATTGTCGAGAACTCGCACTTCACCATGAGCATCAGCTCACCTTTTCATTGGTCACTGCCCCGGCACCAACCTGGTGAATATTTCTGCAGGATCTAGACGATTGGTGTCCCTGCGCGGTTCCAAATCCCCAGTGTCGTCTCTCGCCCCTGCAGCATTGACCAAACCATTATTCAAGTGGTTTGATCAACTTGTGTGCTCAGTATCAATTTTTAAGTCCTCCACTTATGCCGGGATTTTTTCCAGATGAAAGTTTACTGTGACACTCAAGCGTTGCCGGCATTTTATAGGGACACACACTTGTCTTTGACTCCTTGTTCTTTTGTGACTTCACGTTTTGAACGGTGCACGTTATACTCACAAGCACAAAGAGAACTCTTGAGAAAGACGTCAATCTTTAGTAGGGACCGCAAAAGACGGTTATGACTACGGAGAGCAGACACCCTGACCTCTTTCATCAACATCCCCTCGCTGAGCGTCCGCACCCGCACTTCAAAAAGGGCATGTCGACACCAACCTCCCTCCATCGTCAATAGCATGGGAGGTAGCTTTGATGTGGGAGTTGTCTTGGAACTCGCGGATCTTCGGAAGGAACATCCATCTTCCTTCTACTCGGTGGGCCTACTGCTATACAATCGACGACCGTAAACTAACAGTCAACCTGTGCTCTTGTGCTGGTATTAAGACAGTGTCCAACTCAATGCCGTTCCACGAGATGAACTCCATTACTTTATCAAACTATTTCGTTCACACTGTGGGTTGCAGTGGATCCACAATTATAGCTCAATATAACACCGATTTCAGTATTCTCCAACTTCTCTAACGTTTGCGTCACTCAGACTCGACATTCCCTCTATCACATAACATGTCCTCTCTTTTTTTTCTAGGGTTGTTCGAAAACCTACAGGCAGGTCTCATTTACCATTGTCGAATGTATTTGGATTTTTAATGACTTGAAGAATTTTGCGGTCCTGCAACAGACTGGACAGTCCATGAAGCGATGACCCTTCGAACTCGTCCGCCCACAAAGGCAGCTGCCAGCCAACCTGCGCACAGATCTTCCTTATGCCCAGTACTACGGATTTACAGTCACTCCTGAATCGTTTATGGACTTTGCGGAGCGGAAGAGCTACTCTCTCGGAATTCAAAATCCTATGAGGATGTTGCTATGATGCGAGCATTTCAGTTCATCTGGGATTGGGTGCCTATCTACACCTTAGCAAGCAGAACTTGTTTCAATCCCAAAAGTGGCTCAGTACCTCCGGAGACTCTAGTTTGTTCGGTATATGACTACGAAGATGACGGACTCGACATTGGAACCTTTCACGTGCTTGCTGTGTGCTCGGATCAAGAAGATGGCTTTGAACGGCGCCCTTCACGGGACAAGCTGAACGCGATCACAGAATTGGCCGGGCGTGCGCCGCGGTGGTTTGTGAGTTGTGGGTACGCCAAGTTGGAATGTTCAGTCCAAATTACAACAGTATAGATCTACAATCTCCTGTTCACGCCTTGTACTTATTTTCTTCTTCATTGGCGATTGTGCTACGGCCGCGAAAGACGGATCATGAATATGTATACTTGTGCAGAGTAATACTAATACTTAGTCCACCTCCTACCATTTGCGCACACGGAAGACACGATCAAGAAAGTGCTCGGTCTGAAAACCCTTGCACTCCGAACGGAGGTGCTATCAGCTAGAATGAGTTCCGTGATCTACTCGTATTGAATAGCTGCTCACTGAAAATCAGTGAAGTTTCCCAGTCAGGTCACTTTTCCCAGCATCAGAACGTCGCACTTTTCACACATTTACTGCCAAGCTACGTTATATTCGATACATGTCAGGTGCGGATCTAGGTGCCTGACCATATGGCTTCAATTCACCGTTTCTTCTGAAAGTACACTGGTCAAATCCTTGGCAGCATACCACGGTTCACCAAGAGTCTATCCATCACACCGTACAGCAGACCCCACAGGCACACATTTTAACAAGCACTTGGTTCACCGTTCCTGTGTGCGCCTCCAAAGCAGTTACAGGCGCCACATATGTCTTAAAAGATGAACAGTAATAGTCAATCCCGCAAATTCTGAGCTACAACACCCAAGCAACGCAAGCAAGCATCATGTTATCATTCAACGGCACGTTCTATGGTGAGATTGCCCTTGTCTGGCTCCTAGCAGCATCTAACTCACTGGCTGGTAGGTTGCATTGCGGGAATGTGGACAGTGGACTTCGCGAACACAACTCTTTGCTGCGATCAACTCGGAGGAAAGATGTTGAACGCAAACGGCTCGTATGCGTGCGCTTTTGTTCAGAATCAGTTTCCTGTTACGAATCAATCCATAAATGCTTGGTTTAATTGCACCAGCAGTCATCATACCAGTTCTATTTGCGAGACGCCACTGTCGTCTTTGAACTATACTGGTCTTCCGTTGGACGGTAGTACCACTAGTGGAAGTGTTGGTTTGGGGGGAAGGAGCGGTAGGGGACGCTTGATGATTGGAGTGTTTTTGTTAGGATTAATGGCTCAGGCTGCGCTAAACACATGACACTGAAGTGCATAAATGTCTGGGCACTTTAGCAGAGTTGCCCAATGAGGTTGTGGAATGCACATACCCGCAAATTCTTCCATTTATATCGTGACAGTTATTGATTCCACGGTGCGGTTCGACGCGAACAGCGTTTGCCTCCTCAACTGAACTGCGACAAAGGTTATCAGTGTACGGACAATTGAAAATGTAGGGGGTGAAAATCAATGTTCATGAGCTTGAGAATGTGAAGAGTGGAGAGTCGGGAGATGCGTGGCGAGATGGATCCGTAGTTTATCGAGTCAAATTGCACTTCTTAAAGCGCCGGGAGGTCGTTTAAGGATTTCCGGTCCGAAAGTGCTGATGAATGTAATGTTGAAAGTGGAGATATGACGTTTGTGAGATGGAAGGGTTCGTAGGTAAGAAGAGTCGTCGACAGTGCACATAATTTATAAGGGGATGGAATAACCTTGTATTAATATTCTCTAGATGAGCCATGAGTCATCTAGTAGAATTGCCTGTTGCCAGTTATCTCTCGTCGACTTCTTCTATAGACAGGCTGCACCACAACGAGGGCATTTCCACGGCAACGTCCCTCCATCGTTGGCACACACTGGGGAGCAGCATAGACTATTATTGTGATTGGCGAACAGTGGCCTGTGAGGGGGGAAGAGGATGAAAATGTGGGATACGACGATACCTGCGAAACTAGTATACCGTCATGACGGTAGCCAGAGTAATTGGACCGTGACTGAGTTCAAACAACATACAGAAATGTTCCCACGCCTATCTCCTCTCTGAGACGCTCACCAACAAGCGCCCTTGTACATATCACTGGTTCAGCTGGCGGATAGGTGATCGTGCATCTGTTCCCATATGATGAGGCATATTGATGATGTCCAGATTTCGACATAGGGACCAGTCTGTCATCGGGCTTACAGCTTTACAGACTCGGTTGCACCGCGCCCTGAGCCAACATCTTCACCAGCAGCTCGCCAAAAAGCAAGCCACCGCCATGCAACTGCACAAGGAGATTGTATCGGGTTTTTGCCGCTTGCCAACTGAAGTCTTATGCTATATTTTTATTCACTGCCTCCCCCAAATTGGCCACATGTTGCCCAATTCAAATTCACCTCCTATGTTGTTGACAAGCATATGCCGACGTTGGAGGGAGGTTTCCGCAGATATGCCCTCCTTGTGGTGCAGACTAGCCATGGATTTCAAGCACGCTACCAGAAGAAACCGGCGACAGGCAGTCTTCTGTTATGATTCATGGCTCAAGTGAACACAAGGACGTCCGCTCTCCTTAGAAATGATGTGCATCAAAAATGACACTACCGACCTACGAAGCCTTCTTCAGCCTTACTTCCATCAGATCTCCTCTCTGGATATCACATTTGACAAGGCTGCTGCACCCGCCCTCTTGCTAAACGACCTCCCAACACCTCAGAAGCTTCGAGTTGATATACGCTATCATGGTATTGCCGATGCGAAAGAAGACACACTTACATCTATTTTACCACCCATCTCGCGACTCTCCATTTTGCGCAGTCTTGAGTTGGAAACGCTGTCCCGCTACGACTCCAAGTGCTTATCTCGCCTCAACCCAGCATGGGCCCACCTAACAAATGTCAATCTCATTTTGTGCAAGCCACGCGAAGTTATGGGCTTGCTCCAGCTAAGCCCTAACCTCTGCTCGTTGAACATAGACATGCTCCTCAGTGATGGATTGTCCTTGGAGCCATATACCCACACCTCCATTCAGTACATCTCCATCACATTCATTCACGTCACTCTCTCGCATTCAGCACGACACCCACTGGAACACTTGTTCAATGCACTCACGCTCCCTAATTTCGTGTGCTTAGAGCTTGGGAATTACCTTTCACACTATGAGTATGGTGAGTAAATGAACACTCACCAGATGTCTAGCTGTACCCCCGTTTTGGTCACGACGACATACGAGTAGCGAGCGGGATAGACGCCCTCATTTATTTCCTTGCAGTAGTTGTGGGTCACATAGTTCATGTTTCGACAAGATTTACTTGCTGCGCATTTTCAAAAATGAGGACATGAAGTTGTGTTACACCTTGCGACCTCGAAACAGCCTACTGTGAGATGACAATCCTTCGAATTTTTCCGTCCGCAACGGCAGCCTCACCTCCAGTATTATGAACATGCAGTCTCTCCTGAGTGGCTTATCGATCTTGTGGAGCAACAATGGCCAGAAGTGTTACCCGATCGAAGCGCGAAATGCTATGAGGACACTGCCACGAGGCGAGCATTCAACCTCATTTCGGATTTGGCGGGTATACACAACTTGGGCCGCAAAAATTGCGTCAATCCACAGGGTGGTTCGGTGTCTCCGGAGTGGATCACTGTGTTTGAAGGTGATTACGACGACGAACTTGACGATGATGAACTTGCGGCCATTCAACTTGACACCGTTCTTGTGCTCACTGTATGCTCTAATCAAGGGGACGAGTTTGAAGAGCGTCCCATTCATGAAAAGATGGACTACATGACCAAATTAGTCGGATGTGCGCCCCGATGGTGGGTGAGCTGCGGGTTGGGAGCTTGAGTGGGTATCTACCGTGCATCGACATCAACATATTCTAAAATGCGCCACTAATCAGTAGTAGATAGGTTGACATTGCGGTTGAATCTCAACACATGAATAAATATCCTAATGGCTCAAGATATCAAGACATAATTAACAAATGTTACAATTCTTACTGTGTCAATGGCCTCAATATTACATCCCATTGTCACGGCCGTGGTCGACTCCCTGAACACTATCAATCGAGCTCCTCATCGGGAGCTCTTCTTCGTCGGATATCGTCCTCGCAAAACAAACATCTATCATTCCTGCACGACGCAAGTTGTCCTCCGTCGGATGCTCCACATCTTCCAAAGCTTCGTGGACGGATGATGAATGATGACCCAACCACAACAGTTGCAGTGCGCCTGTATTTTGGATGGAAGCCTCAATATCGTGGGATGCGTCGAATGCTCTCGTCGTGTGTAAAGCCAATCCCAACATGATCACCGACGCAGAGGTCGCAAACAGCAACTAGAATCAACTTCAGCAAACTGACATTGTGTAGGTAGTATCGCAAACTCACAGGAATAAGGGTGATCTGCAACGTGTGTGAATCAGTCAAACAGAGAAAGATTCTGTGCAGTTTAAACTGACATTGAGTCGTAGGGCAATCACCTCCTCGTTGACAAGGGCCATCCCCTCACCAGGTAGAATTCCTACGTTGGATCCCGTTCGGCTTGCCGAGGTAGTGACACAGTATGAGTAAGAACAGAGCCATGGCATATGATCCCTTACCCATCCAAGTGAGTTGTGCGACTGTTTGCGCAATAGCGGTTTCTAGTTTATCCAGGCTCAGGACGAAAAAAGCAGGAGGAGGTGCATCGGCGTTGAGCGATTGGTTATATTGAGCTGGGAGATCCAATCCTACCAAAGACATGATATACCTAGAAGAAAAAACTGTAGGTAAGGCATTGTAGGACGCAGTGAAGGTAAGGTCTGAACTCATCCATAATCGAGGGTTCATTACCATTTGCAAATTGATACCCACTACTGCCTGAAGTAGACAAAACTTGAGCCATCTTGTGTCGACAATGGATCATTGAACTTTGATAATCCCTCAAAACAAGTGTTATTGTTCAACGCACAAATTTTGACCACGGGGTAGATGTCGACTGATCCATTTCCTCCCATTCCGTGGATAACTGCGAGATGGGCATCGGATTCTGTAGAGTGTTGGTTTGCATGTCGATCACTACTGTGGTATTGTTGGTCGACAGCGAGCATTGCACAAAATAGACTTCAATGGATGTGTTCAAATCTACAGAAGGTTTATCATGGTTACATTCTGGGAAAGCCATACGTACATTCACCGGTAAAAACATTCAAGTTGCCTTCTAATATTGGAAGTTCCAAGGTCATCGGTACCGTAACCTCCTGTTGTACTGAAGGCTCGATCTCCAACAAGGTAGAGATCATTAGCACAACAGAAGGGAGTGTGTAAGTCTGACAGCCATCAATTAGCTTCAGAGTTGCGCACTAAAACCTTGGCACGAACGTCATTGATTGTATTGCCATCAATCTGAAGTTGTTGTATCTGGTCTGTCCCTGTAGGCATTTCCAAATATGATAAAATAACATTTCACGCCATGTTGACGTACAGGGGGGGGTTACGGCCACTTGGAATACACCTCCATTGCCAAATGGAGCAGTTGCTCTGCTGCTATCCTGAGAGTAAGTGGCATTTGGAAGCACTGCACAACTCGAGGTTATCGTCGTCGCATTCACTTCTGCATATCCGACTATAGAGTTTGTTTGCGAGGTGTCGTAGACTGTATTATTGGATAACCCTGTAGAGACAAGTCCAGAAAATTGAATGATAGTCGGTAAGGATGAAGTGATGATGGTTTTCCAGTTGTCGATGAGCGAGGTGGAGGTTGACAGATCTACCCATCCTAGTGATGTTGACACATTAGTCGTTATAGAAGAATTGAATGTTTGAAATTGTAGGAGAGTGGAAGAGGTGACGTGTAGCACAGAAACGCATAAGAGGTAGGATGTCACAGCAGTAGTCGCCCACAGCGATGCAGGGGCACCAGTTTGTTTCCAGACAGTATTGAGTGCGGAGCCAAGACCTGCCCATGCGCCGGAGATGTCGTGGATTGAGGTCAATTTCAGACGGCGCACAAGTGCCCTTGACATCGCAAGCCGTTGAGTAAGGAAGACCAAGACAGCTGTGTAGAGCTAGACGAAGTCCTGTGATTGATGTATTGGTGAGATAACAGTGAATACATACCGTATAAAATGCTTGTAGTGAAGCGCTCAGTACCACAGGCCAAAAATCGGTGTTCGTGGGCGTGAATGGGAGAGTCACACGGTGTTCCCAACAAGAGATATAAGACACGGTGAGGAAGATGTGTATCATAACCAACATGCCATGCAGCACGTAACATGCGCGTGCAGAGAATGATCCCCCGCTTGCATTTTCTGAAGGATTTTTCGAGCGAGTCTTCCAGGACGCTGGGGCAAGGAGATATAGTTGTTGGCATATAACAACATGACATTTACATACCGAACCAAGTACCTGGCGGTTGCATTATGGGGTGCTCGCCGTTTGGGGTTGAGGCCTCAGGGTTTTCGAAGGGAAGAGGCAGCACTAATGTATCTGCGAGGAAGGTAAGCGAAAGTGGGGTAGAACGACCCTAAGAATTGACAAGTGACTTATGGAAGTATCAATGTAAAAGAAGATGCTTTCAGCCTCTTAAGCGCCTGATTGCGATTCGAAGGAAAGAACCTAAAAGAGTACAGCGTGGCTGATGATGCATCACCATCATGATCGCACTGCAGCTGATAATCAGAATGCCGTCTAATATCAGTAGATATTTGCAGTGGATCCCGAGCCTAGCACTGTGCTGATGATGGTGTAAGATGGACAATACTTTACATGCGATGAATCAATCATAGCGCCGCTGAGGGCAGCAGTCCCCGCTCGGGCGTCGTAAAAGATGACTATCTTGCGAGCGCTAAGGTCATGATTTTGCAAGTCATTTGGTATTGCAAAATGTTTCGCCTCCAGTCACGACGACTCCACCAGTACTGAAAACGCTCACTAGAGAGCTAGAAAAGCTTGTTTTAGCCTTCGAGTCTTTCAAAGCCTGAACGGAAAGGAGTACTGAGTCACAAATTCTCAATTATCAGACTATCTTTCCTTTTCGGTAAAAACACTAAATATCTGTAAACAGCGTATACCAGTACTTACGTCGCGCTGTCACCTAGTGCTGTTCAGTCCATGTCTTACCTACGCGGTTGGTTCTCGCTTGATACGTCAAGCCCCGCTACCAAGATCGAGCCCAATGGCTCCTACCCAATCCTGTCACTTTCAGTCCCGGAGTTAAATGAAGAAGATGAAGACGATGGATCGGACACAGCAGGTGAAGACGACGCACCACCTGCTTTCCCCGCGATCAATAGTGCACAACGCGCAGCCGCCTCGCCTTCTTCATCCTCGCACTCATCTAGGGGACTCGGCATACCAATGATACTCACCGACTCAGCATTGATGCCCCCGCCGCCTGTTCCCAGCCTTGCCACACGCCGACCAGGTGTTCCCCCCCCACAGAGTTCATCATCTCTTCTTGCACCTATGACTACGAATCAGCCGCCGAAACGACCTTCCAGACGAGACAAAGTGGCTTTAGCGCCTGGATTTGGCCCTCTCGATTGGGGAAATCTTAAAGCATCTGGTCAGAATCTACGAGTAAGCATGTCTATGCATATCTAGTGTGCAATGTAGTGAAATTCTTAAGGGAGTTGATGCATTAATGCGCATCCCACCATCTGTGCTCAAGTTGCATAACAAGAAAGACGATGCTTGGACAGCGATCAATGGAAAGGTTTATAACATGACACCCTACCTCCCGTATCACCCGGGCGGTGAGAAGGAGCTCATGAGAGTAGCGGGTAGAGATGGAACCAAATTGTTTTGTGAGTGCTCGTTGTATCTTCGTATGGGCTGCACCATTGAACGGGGTAATTCAGCATCAACTCACGCGTGGGTAAATGCGGACTTCATGCTTGACGCATGCCTGGTCGGATTTTTAGTATCCGAGCCAAGCTCATAATAGATCGGACATGGCGTTTTGGTTAGACTGCGTGGATTAGAATTGCAGGCTGCTATCGATATCTGTATCCAATCACTTGCTGTGCTATAACGGGTGCCACATACTGGTAGATGCTGTGGCGCAAATTGCCCCAAAGCCGGACCGCCAGAAGATGGACATTTATGCTGTGGCTGCTTGTATGTTTCTATTCTGCTAACTTTAATGCCAAGCCCTAACCTGTGACTGCGAGAGTTGTTCGCATTCGTAATATTCAGTTTCCCCTATCACTTACTACGGGGCTATGGAAACCCGCTGTTGCCTTGATCATCACGATAGAAGCGTTGTCGTGTTGCCGAGGGCACCTCTAGCACCGGGTCGTCCGTCGAAGAATGCAAATATTGCATCAATGGTCATAATGTGGCTCAGAATGCGTGCTTTGATTAGATCGCATCCAAATATGGCAAGTAAGCATGAATAACAATCCCTCACATGCCCCTCATTGCGCGATAAGGGCTTCCACTGGCACCACATTCCGTCTTGAGTTTCCGGGAGTGGTCGCCTGACCTCTTTGCTCTAGTATAAAGTGCGATAACTGTATCCTGCAGAAGCTGACATCAGATTCTCCCCTTCTGGATCACGACAGTATGGCACCAGTGGCTACCAACCAAGAGAGCGGCAATGGAACCATTGACCGCGTTGCAGAGTTGAAGAAAACTTCAGCCAATAAGCCTATTGAAGACACTCAGTTCATCAATCCCTTCTACTCGCCCAGTGCTGGGAACGATAACGACGATGACTACCAATATGCCAAGTACAAGGTGAGCGACTTTGGATTTCAATCTTGTAGGCAAACACTGATACTTCACCAAGCCCCACTTCCCCGTTGTGAATTGGGAACCGCTCACAGAAGTTGAGGTCACCGATCGTGGCCACTTTGCAGACTCAAGCAAGACGGCTCTCTTCAGTGCTGCACAGAAAGTCAAACACCTTACACCCACTATTGGCACGGAGCTCGTCGGCATCGACCTCCGGCAGCTGACGAATCAGCAAAAGGACGAGCTGTGAGTACCACATCCACGACTGCAACTATCTTTTGATGAGTTTATCCTGCCAGCGCCCTCCTTGTTGCGGAGAGAGGCGTTGTCTGTGAGTAAACTAAATGCGTCACAAAGAGTTAACATAACATATCCCTCGCGTAGTCTTCCGAGACCAGGAGCTCAACGTCCACGAGCAGCTTGACATTGCCAGACACTTTGGACCCCTTCACAAGCACGCGACGACCCCCGTTCCTCGAGAACCGGGACTTGAAGAAGTTCACAGTGAGTCGGATCATTGAAAGAAACTTTGGAACTGTCAATGTCATCCTTCAGTCGTTTACAATGACGCTGCACGACGCCCTGATACTAGCGCGTTTTCGAAGATTGAGCTTTGGCACAGCGATGTGACATACGAGATCCAACCACCGAGCACCACTTCTTTGAAGGTGATTACTGGTCCCGAGTACGGCGGTGACACGCTCTGGAGCTCTGGGTAAGCAGCAGAAAATGACCCAGAAGTTATTCTGATGCATCGCCTACAGTTATGCTCTTTATTCATCCCTCAGTCCAGGCATGCAGGCCTACCTCGAGGGTCTTACAGCTCTACACAGTGCGGTCGCGCAGGCGGAGGGATCTCGTGCGGCTGGACTTCACGTCCGTCGTGAGCCCGTCGAAACCGTACATCCTGTCGTTCGTGTCCACCCAGTAACTGGTTGGAAGAGCGTTTACGTCAACCCTGGCTTCACACGTCGCATACTCGGTGTCCCCAAACCTGAATCCGACACGATTCTCAATTTCTTGTTCCACCAGGTCGCTGAGAATGTCGACTTCCAAGTGCGCTTCCACTGGGAACCGAATTCAATTGCTTTCTGGGACAACAGGGTCAGTACTGTTTCTTCTCGACGAAAAGCGTGAAGTTTGACCAGATACTAGATTGTCACACATACCGCGACTTTTGATTTCTGGCCTCAAACTCGCCACGCACTCAGGGCTACTCCTCATGGCGAGAAACCTGAGTCTGTTGAAGACTACGAGCGCCGGACAGGCAAGGAGGCGAAGGATCGCCAGATTGAGATCTGGAAGCAGCAGGGAATCGAGGTTCCTCAATCGAAGAAGGGTTTGTCCCGGGCACGCGGATACAATGACTGAGAAGCTAGTCTGTGCTTTTATTGCAGAATATGACAGAAGTCCAAGCCAGAGTGTCGTGGTGTGTGGACAGAGCTGGTGATCAGTCACGCAAGGCTTCAGCATTTGCATAACATCTGCAACTCCCTCCCACATCCCAAAACGTTGAACGCTGAGCGCTGAGCCTTTGAGGAGACCCCATTAGAATCTACTACTAACGACTTCGCAACCGGTATTAAGAAATGCTACGAGGACACTGCCATGAGGCGAGCCACACCTTGGGCCGCAAACCACAGGGTGCCAGCTCGGTGCCCCCGGAGTGGATCGCTTTATTCGATGGTGGTTACGACGACGAGCCTATGGTGATTTAAATCAACACCGTTGTAGTGCTTACCGTATGCTCAGGTCAAGAAGACGAACTTGAAGAGCGTCCCATCCAGCAAAAGATGGACTATATAACAAAATTGATCGAACGTGCACCCTGATGGTAGGTGAGTTGCGGGATAGGACATTGAATGCGTGGTTTTACTTGTATCATTTTGAGTCCTGTTCAGTAAAATTGAGTATATATACTTACCGATACATTCAGTAAGTTTCTTGGCGTCGGATTGGCTCTAAAATGGTCTATATACCAAGTAACTGTAGTCCGTGTTATTTAGTATGTGGTTGCCATTACACTGAGACAGCCACATGTCAAGGTATGATATAGTATCACGGACATCCCGCCAGACTACAGATCACAAACGCGTTAGAATCAGTCCCGCGGACAATTGTATGTGTCTTCCTGCCTGTTAGTGCTCAAACATCGCGAACGAAAATGATATACGCACGTACTATCGTCATGGGCTCTCAGAACCTTCACCATTGATTGCATTACTGAAACTTAGGCAGCACTTTGCCAGACGGAAAAGTTGTTTTCCGTCGCGATCGATAGCAAGTGATAGTGGAATAGGGATGCCATACTGTGGGTTGGCACCCAGATATTCAGCCAGATTGCGCAGGGCTTTTGCGCGATGTGCGATGTGTCCTGAAGGCTCCGCGTCCACGTTTGAGTGATCCCCAAATCCCTCTAAGGCGCGTTTTTAGTCAAGCATACACCAAATCAGATGAAAGAATTTTGCGCCATCCCGCTCAACAGCCTCCAGTATCCGCCCATCCGTTTCACTCTCGCCAAGGCCATCAAGCCAATCAGCAAACTTGGAGCAAAGTGATGCAGTCCCTGGCGCGTCTTGGATTGTGTTTGAGAAACATGATGATCGGTCGGGTGATCCTCGTTCATCATCCTCCCCATACTGAACATTTTCTCAGTGTGGCACATGTGTGGGATTGGGGAACCTACCTGTTTCCTTGGAGGCTGGCGTCCAGTGGATTTGCGAGCGATGTTCTTCCGATGGCGTTTTACTCCGCCAGGAATGGAAGTTGGAGTTGGATGAGGATGAAGAGAGCCTGCCATAGAGATGTTAGACGACATGCAAAGATATGGCGAGTCACCAGTTACTGTTAATAATGGGGGCTGCTCGCCGTATCAGGTAAGTACTCGTGGTCTAAGGTGCACTTCTGTGCACGTGGGACCCCTGAAGTTTGTAACTTACTTTTATGTAACGGTGTAGGCGTGCAGGCCAGTCACGGTATCATAAACGTTATCATGCAACGTCGCACCCCAAGGTCGTCATAACTATGAGAGGTTGAAGACTCCATAAGCGAGGCACTATAACTGATGTTTCCTCCAAGTATCTTCACAATTAGGTGCTAGCCTAAAGATCCGGTTCGGCTTCGAGGCTGAAGATCTGCGGAGAGAACATTTGATCAGTGCCATTGGCTTTCACATTGTAACTTACCGGGTCACCAACATCGCATTGACAGGCCGGTCGATGCGTCTAAGTTTTCGGAGACCGGTATGGATAATCCAAGGACACCCACAGGGTATTTCTCACATCACCTTGATACCATAAAGGTGTGCACAACAGACCTAAAGAAAATTTCTAGACTTGTGCCGAACCATGGACATGATCACTCACTGGGCATATGGTGTAGCTGGTTATCACATCCGCTTAGCATGCGGGGGGTCTCCGGTTCGAGTCCGGATTTGTCCACTGTTTTGCTCGGTATCCTGAGGCTCTACTTTGTCAACTTGCAGTCGATTGTCGAGTCGACATGCATGATCTGGCAGCACAACATTTTGTCGAATCTTCACCAAATTTTCATCTCAAATTGAATAACCTATATTTCCTTTCTTGCGAAAAAGCAAATACCTATAAACAAGTGCTACATCGCCTTCTCGCCCCCATTCAACCAAACACCAGATAACTTCGAGAAAATGCTTTCATGACGACTACATCCCCGATTACACCCCAAATCGATCCAGATCTCTATTCCAATAACTCTACGGATTGAATCTTGCTTCCGCCCCGATCAATCGAGATCTACTTAGCGTTCTATGGATAAATCCTGGAAAGTAAGCACTGTATTCGCGGTGGTCGTTTGTGTCAATTCATAGCGCACCTCACCAGACTATGTCAATGGTATGGGTACAGGACACAATTTAAGAACGCTATGTCAACGCTTGTCACAATTCACGCTCAATCCGAAATACTACAGGAGCAACCCACCCACCACTGTGGTCCATGCCCAATCAACTTTGTCATGTACTTGATTTTTTCCTGAACGCGACGCTCATCAAAAGAGTCTTCTTCATCCGAGCATACGGTGAGCACATCAACAGTATCTATGGGAATGTTCATGAGTTCTTCGTCATCGAGTACGTTGTACTCGGGACCAAGTAATCACCTTCAAAGAAGTGGTGCTTGGTGGATGTATCTCGTACGTCAGATCACTGCGTCAAAGCTCGATCTTCGACGCGAGAGCAGCAGGGCATCGTGTAGTATCACTGTAAATGACTGAAGGAATGACATTAACAGTTATAAAGTTTCGTGAACTTGAACAATTCGACTCACTGTGGACTTCCTGAAGTTTGGACTCTCGAGGAATGGGGGTTGTTGCGTGCATGTGAAGGGGGTTTAAAGTGTCTACTAACATGACTATGTGCTCATGGACGTTGAGCTTCTGGTCTCGGAAGACTAAGCTAGGGATAGATCACGTTAGCCTTCCAAGAGCTTCGTGACATATTTAGGTTTACGACAACGTCGTTCCCTGCAACAAGGAAGGCACTGGAAAGACTGGAGAACTGATGCGATAATGGCAGCGATCGAGATATGAAATCACCCAGTTTCCAAACATCAACACACCCAACTCCTCAGCACCGACTGCGACTAAGGAGGCAGGTGCCAAAGCGAGGGTCAAGTCAACACTCGAGACGGAGGTTGGTGCACAGCGGGTCGGTGGTGTGCCCGTGCCGTCGCGTGGTAATGATGCGCTGAGTCGTCGATGATGTGCCGAGGCTGTCGTCGGCGAGTGAGTGATGCGCTTGATTGTGATGAGACATGGCCTGTGATGGTGACGCGACTCGGATATGCACGCCGATGCTGAAGTAGCCGTTTGGTGAGTCGTAGAAGGGGCTTTGAGCGGTTACCGATGCTTCCAGTAAGTGTGGGTGCGCAGCAACAAGCGTATGCGACGCAGGTGTGGAGACAGAGAGATGAGGTGAAGATGGCTGCAGCTATGAGCGCCTCGAATAGATAAACAACTTCTTCTGTGCATGCTGTCGTCTCAGTGAGCTTTTCAACAGGAAGCCGCAAGCGCGACTGCCAAAAGGTTTGGAGGATGGCTGTAACGAGCGATGTTAGAGGTGGGATTAGAGAAAAGTGACGTGTTTGACTAAGGAGAAACATTTGTTGATCAATTGGGGGATATATGGGTTGAGAAGAAACGAAAAATCAAGACATATAATGTACTCGTCCCCTTCTCTCTATAAAAAATCTTGAAGTTGTGTTCAAGTGACCAGCAACATAGCACTGGCAAGTTAGGCCCCCGGAAGCTCCTTTCGATGTTCGGCCGTCAAGACCCTCAAAAATGGCCGTATAAGAGCAGATATAAAGATCCTGTCGGCATGGCTCCCTCCCAGAGTTATCTGCATTAATTCGGAAGGGGTCGAGGGATGGACGCGAAGGCTGCCGTCGGACACAGCCATATTCGAGCCCTGAGGCCGCAATTTCAGGTCATGCTGGAGGACCTTAACCACGGGTAGCATTATCTCGTCCCATATTATCCGCAAGAGTACTCGCAACTTCATCCTTGGCATATCTAGGCGCGTATGAGCCGTGTGCCGGATTGCGGTGGCGAAATCGTCCTTGAGCTTCTCCAGATCTGCGAGAGTAATGCGCGGGAAGCGAACATGGTGGGGCTCTCCTGACGTTGGGACAACAATGGCGCTGCATGAGTATTGACTCGTAATGAGGATGATAACTGGGCCATGGCGTGCTGCGGCTTGCAACTCTGTGTATGGTGGCGGGAGCAGGAACCGCGAGAAACCTTGAAGATTAAGTATTTCAGCTACCCCAGCTTCCCAGTGCCTTATCAGTTTCCTATACTCTGTTGCTGCCCGATCAGCGGCAGCTCTGTCTATGCTGTCTGCGGAACCCTGAGCGCGCTGTCCCCACACGACACTGCAATGATGACGAGTGAACAACGAGGAAAGATGAAATGCTACAGCATATGAAACATTTCTCGGGACATCTGGACGTGCCAGAGTCCCACAAGCACACAGCAACACTGGCGTGTGATAAATAAACGAGATTGACGCTCTAGCTTTTGGACTCACAGCCATGACCGCAGTTCCTGTGCAGATTTACGAAATAGCGCGCCTTGCTGCGCTCACGTTGTTAAAATCATCCTCTTGGTAACTCCCGTCTGAACTTCCAGCGTAGATCAACTGACGATCAGATCTACTAGAGGCACAGTGCTCTCGCAAGTGTTCCGGCGGGAATCTTCAAAACGACCAACATCAGATCTACAGCACACGAAGAGAGCGCACCTTACATTCAAACACATCCAGAGAATACCTCCCGGATTTAACTACTTGACAGTTTCTCTCGCAGAGACGCAGCCATGGCTTCCACATCGACGAAGGCAGCCGCCACGGAATCGGTTTTGAATCCAAAAATGACTTTGAAGGGTCATGGAGGGGAGATTGGATCCATATCCTACTTTCCTGATGGCCAGCGAATGATCAGCGGATCTTGGGACAAGACCGCTCGGCAATGGGATCTGAAGGCGGGTAAGGAGATTGAGGAAGCCCGGGGTGTTTACGAGAAGGCGGCGGTACGGGCAGTGGCGGTATCAAGGGATAGTCGATGGGTTGTAACTGCTGGTGGAGATATCGAACCCAGGGATACGGAGCTGAAAGCCTGTGAGGTTGAGACGGGGATTGTGAAAGAATTCAAAGGCCACTCAGAGAGCATCGAGCGCATTGATATCTCCGTGGACAGCAAGCTACTGGCGAGCGGGTCAATCGATCTTACAGTGCGGATATGGAAGTTGGAGACCGGCGAACTCGTGGCCGGTCCATTCGAGTTTGGTGATTTTGTGGGCGCCGTTCGATTCTCGAGGGATTCGAAAAAGCTCGCAATCACCTCGTGGTTGGGGACGTGCCTTGAGGTCTGGGATATCGAAAAAGAGAAATTGGATGCGAGGAAAGGGGAACTTAGTGATACCGATGCATGGTCATGTGCGCCAATATTCTGGACAAATAAAAACAAAAACATCTTGGCCGCATTCAACTTCACGCCGTTCACGGATGACCAAGCCAAGACAATTTACGAGTTTGACGCCTCGACATTGGAGATTCTTGGAGCTCCCTTCGAAGGGCACACCGAAACTGTCAATGGTCTTGCACTTTCATCCGACAACACTCTCCTCGCCAGCTCCTCGTTGTGGGACCACACCATCAAGCTCTGGGCCTTCGAGTCACGCCAACTCCTCGCTTCCTTCGACGTTCAACATCCCCGTGCCCTTGTCCTATCACCCGACTCGCGCCAACTAGCTTACACGAGTTACAATGAGAACAAGCCCATTATTTACATATGCGATATTCCACCCGATGTGCTTGCTCAGGCCTGTGTACGCATTCCCCGAAAACTTCTACTGCTCGTGTGCTAATATTTCCTTACAGACCAGTGCACTTCTAAATGTACGTGCCTCATTCATTTACTCATTACACCGCTCATCCATCGTTTAAGTTATCATTGCAGTCTGACGCAACTCGTCGTCCTCCTACAGTGCGTCGCAGCCCGCCGATACCCGTCACACCTATGGTGCAGAGGCCTCGTGAACTCCTTCTCTCTCCTTCCCACACCGATACAGTTCTCCCAGTTCGTAACGATGAGTCTGGTGGTTCCCCCATTGAAGCGATGCTCCCAAATCTCACGACATACATCACCAAGGACGACGAATATCCTGTTGCTCATGGCGGGTTTGGAGAGATCTGGAAATGCACCTTTTCCATAGATAGGAGACTGATCAAAGTTCGTTGGCAGTATTCTGTTTCTCCATCAGTCCAAAATTGACAATTGCGCAGGTTGCAGTGAAAGCATTGCGTGTGAACACTGCTGATCAACTTGGTCCAGCGAAGACGAAGAAGATCAAGGTAAGAGTCTTGCCGAAAATTTACATCTAATGTCACTTACCTCAGAGGTCGCCACTTCGCAGAGGATAACGCGCGAACTCAAAATATGCGCCAACCTCAAGCACAAAAATATTCTCCCCGTTTATGGTTATACTTACGGCTTCGGCCCAATTATAGCGCTGGTCAGTCCTTGGGCAGAGAATGGAAACCTGATGGTCTATTTAGAGCATGTGGGTGCGAATCTTACTGTCATTCGACGATTTCAGATCGTAAGTCCTCGCTTGTATTTCGTAAAGGCTACAGACTAATGGCAATCTCAGCTCAGGGATATCATGGCTGGTCTCCGATATCGTACGTGCTAGTTAGTTTAATGCCGGACCAGGAGTCAAAACTACTCCCCGTAGTTCACGACAACAGCGTCATCCATGGAGACTTCACTGCTGTGAGTTCGGACATTCTCGTTAGTTTCAGCTTGATTGAGATGTAATCTCCAGCCTAATGTACTCATCCATGGTGATGGTACTGCGTGTGTTGCCGACTTCGGTCTCTCCTTGATGTATTCGGAGGTCATAAGCATCTCTCAAGCCTCCTGGACATCCACGCTCAACGGCAATGTACGATGGATGGCTCCCGAGCTGCTCGCATTAGAGCGGGAGGATGGGTCTCTAGCACGGCCGAGCGAGCAGAGTGACATATATTCATTAGGCGGCATCATGTTGCAGGTACGTCTGGGGTAATTTCAACTTTTCAATGGGGTCATTACCTCCGCTTTTAGGTCCTCACCAATAGTACTCCCTATTATTACCTCCGGAATGATGCCGCCATCATATGGGCTATGCAGAAGTCAGAGACGCCTTCCCGATCGCGTTATCCTCCACTGCCTGAAAAATACTGGGAGTTTATTGAGGAATGTTGGTCTGCTGATCCGCGGGACCGTCCATCGACAGAGGCAGCTGAGGGAGTAATCAGGAATGAATATTATGCGCTATCCAGATCTCCTTAATTCTTCAGTTGTTTTTCATACAACCATGTGTTTACGATACGACCAATTGGATAGCTAGCTCGATATGCTACTCAGGCATAGCAAATGTAGGCCCCACCCCATACTTCTCTTGTACACTGCAGCATATGGCCATGCCTTCCCTCACATTTAATTTCAGTTGTGAAATGCTATATATACGAACGAATTCGAATTGCCAGTGATTCGTGGAAATTCATCGATACATGTACAGCTATCATTTTACGCAAAAACGGACGTAATTATGGAGGGTTTGACTACTTAGCTGTAAGGATATGCCGTCGGCGCGTCAGCTATATATGCCGCTGGGGACTTCACATGTTTGCTGAGCTCTGAGAATGTATGAGCTAGGTTGGAATTCGTGGACTCGAGGTCTTCCAGTGGAGTCCTGAGTCGAGAGGCTAGGGATCACTGCTGGCCACGGCCCTGCTCCATGAGTTCGATTGCCTGTCGTTAGTTGCCGTGACGTATGGCACATGAAGCTGCATTTACTGGCAACAGTGATTGTGCACCGCGAAAAGCGGTTACAGCCTCGCGCCGTGAGATAATTGACGATCGCGTTAATACGTGGTTGTCGAAAAGCTCCAAGCACATTTGGTACGCTTCAAGGGCAGAGTCATGTTGATGACTTTCAGCTTCATTGACCCAGCGCAAGGCGGTTAAAATACGATGTGGAAAACCTTGAGTGGGGTGTGTCCCGATACCAGTCTGAAGTTCTCCACTGCGAGCGCCAAATCAGCGGGGTCGTGCTGCATCTGGTAACGAGACAGATAGGCATTCTTCAGTAACATGTAGCTGAAGTACCTGTCAGGGTGCAGTGAAGGTAAGGCCACCAACGACTCTTGGGAGAGTTGAACGGCCTCCTGTTTGCAGCATTCTTCATCTAGAATAGAGGTCTGAGAATCAGAAATGGGCGCGTGGCCGTCAGTGACACATCGCAATTCGTCTTCAAAGTTGCTCACTGGAGTTGCGGATCGTCTAAATTCGACGCGTTCTGCAACTTGTCCCGTCCAGCTGACAAATCCCCGACTCCCACGATTAGTGGGAGAAGGGTTGTTGTTTGCAAGAAACGTCCAGGCACCTACAAACGCATGCGTGTGACTTTATTTCTTGTTTCCTTCCCGTGCGATTTCCTTAACTAAGCTGGTTTCGCAAATACCTTGTACGTCACTTTTGACCGAAGAGCTCGTCCGAAGGCTACTCAAGCTTTCCGTGGATACCCTGACAGCATCCATCCGCCTTCTGCCGTTGATCGGGCGTCCTGCGCTCAATAGTCGCTCCCGCGCTAAAATGTGTAACGGTCTCGTGACTCTCGTCCTTCTCTGGTGGAGCTGCCCACAGCCTATTGTTCTATAAGAGTCTGCAATAAGTAATAAGTATCCTCGCGTTAGATGGAAAAGTTGATGCACCCCGAGCAGATGAACTTATGGTCAACCATAGACTAGTAGTATTGCCGGATAGTGGGTGTCCATACGAATAAATTGAAGTGATTGCATATTGGAACAAGGCAGGAATGACCACAAGTGTATGGCCTAAATATTATTTGTGCTCTATGCCGGTTGGACTTACATCGGAGTCGGGGACCTGGTGCACAGCACCGTTACGATATTGCTAAAGCTTGCACACGATCGGATATTTCCGGGCGTTCACTGGTCGCTCCAATTGCTTCAAGAATGTTTCTCAATGTCACTCAAACGCGTTGGTGGCAAGTCTGACGGCGGCATCGACTTACTTGGCTGCTGGTGGTTACCCCTCTCCGAACCACAGTCTTCTCAATCCACCCCAATCACCCTTCCTCATAGACGCATCCACGTTCTCGCACAATGCAAAGCGGAAAAGAGAAATTCTCGCCAAATTATGTTCGGGAGACGGAAGGTGTATGGAATATGCACACTACCACTCAGGCCCCCTCCTCCACACGTGTCTGAACTGGGTACAGTGGCATTGCTCCTCTCAGAGTCAAAATTCACCACTGTGACCCTCACCCGTGCACTTGGTTCCAACTTCCAACGTCCCCTTTCTCCTTATGCACCTCCCACCTCTACCGGTGTCCCCAGATCCACGCGTTGAAACCCCCCTCGGAGAAGTCGGCTCCGCTTTCTGGAACTCCGCTCTAGGTGGTGCGCAAGGTCTTCTTCGCGGGGACCTTGATGTTCGCTGGGAACGTGACCCGGGAGGGGGCGGCCTGGGTTATGGTGTCGTGACAAAAGGTTGCAGAACTAGATACCGGATACACACGGGGAGTGTCTTAATGCGCTCGAGGACGTCGATCGATAACTAGGATAGTGAACAATCGATGGATGATTTGACTTCGGCATTGAATGTCGCTACAACTGCATGTTTGAGTCGCATTCCATGACCGAGGCACGAGGTGTTGGAATGCAGGGTTTAGGGCAAGTCGCGGGTGCCTTATAGTTCCGCTCATATCGACTTCACTCCTTGTTCCGCTCCTCCGACGTAGTCTGTAGCTCACACCCGTTTGTACTTGCCTTAGCTCGCTTAGGTTTTCTTTTGTTGCTTTAGTCACGTCTACGTCGGTGCCTTCATTTCTTTCCGTCTGTCGCCTTGTTTCCCCGTATGGTTAGACAATGTCGTGTTACACGCGCCGCTTCCCCCATGGCGGATACTTCCCTTGAGGTTCCCTCAAATATCCTTGCTTCCTCTGAGGACAGTGGCTCCCCCTCCATAGGGCCCTCTCCTTTCGATTCCATCCTTCCTGCGGCGGGCTCTGACCTCGATCTCTCCATGATCGCCGCTGCTGCAGAAAACGCTGGCGCAAACACACCCAGTGTTGTTCTTACTCGTCCTTCCGATGAACGGGCTCCTCACGAGCCTCCCACTTTGTTGACCCCAGATAGACAGACGAGGGGGCGTACCCGCACCTCAGCTGCCACTCCAGCCTCTGCTCCCCAGAAGAAGAAGTCCAAGGGTAAAGAAAAGGCCTTACCGCCCTCTGAAGGTGACGAGTCTCCAGGTGATCCCCACCTTGGGCTGCCTCTAGCCTCGGGTACTCCGTTCGCCCCTCGGGGCCCTAGCATTTGTCTTCCCGGCAGAGTCTTAAGTCAGTTACCAGCTTTCGCTCACGCCCCACTTGCCGCTTTGGCTCCAACCTCTGGTCCCAACCTCGTCGCAATCTCCAATGAGGCGGCATTGAAGCTCTTCAACGACCTCACCGCAGGTCACGACCTCCTGGACCCTATTATCCGTTCCCAAATCCGTCTGGCCTTCTTCCACGAAGCGCCCTGGTTTGACGTTGACGCGCTTCTCCCTGTGCTTCCCACTAGTGGTATAATTCCCCCTGTGGCTATTCCCCAGCCTGGTCAGTCTTCTTACCTTTATTGTTGGCCCCACTCTCTTCCCGGCACTTATATGCGCCCTCTTTCCACCCCCCTGGTGCCTATATGCGCCTGATTGTTGCTTCTAACACCTATTTGACCTCTTCCTTTCTGTTTCTGCTCATCTCCCTCTGCCCTGCTCCTGGCCTTGGCACTAATTTTTCGCCCTCAGCCATCAGGAACTTGCCTGCCCCTGCAGGGCGCACTCTGCTTCCAGGTGTAGTTTTGGACGATCGGGGCTCTCCACGCTTGGTCGCTTCCTCACACCGCTCACTTCCTTCCAACCCAGTGAAGCTTCAAGGGAACACGGTGCCGGAACCCAAGGCTATAGTGACCGCCCTGAAGAACAACTGGAACGTGCATATCCTTCTTAACGCTCTCTCCACCAATGCCCTCATCCTCCTGGGTTCGTCTTCGCGCTCGCAAAACGACTCTGACCACTCTCTCGCGGTTAAGGATGGTGTTCTCACTGTCGCCTCTCCTAGCCTCGATGCTAAACGCGAACCTGACATGTCCCTAGAGGACTGGATCCACGCTTGGCCCCGCCTTGTGCGGATGATATCCGTGTACCTCCCAGGCCCCTCCAAAGATGATATTTCAGCGGCTTGGGAGGTCCACTTCAAAACCATTTCCAATCGTCTAGACTTCTTTGTCAACTTCAAGCACTACCTGCTTTACGATATTCGCGTTCGCCAGTCGTTCGTCCACAATCAAGAATTCAACCCGGACGACTGGCAGGAGGAGGTTTGGAACGCTATCGGCCGAGAACGTAATATCTCTGACTTCCACGGGTCTCTCTCCCAGCCTGTGCAGCCTCGCGCTTCAGGCTCGTCCTTTCGAGGCACCACCGCCCCTCCCAGGAGCTCGCGGGCGAGTGGTAGCAGTTCGCAGCTCCGTCCAGGTCCCTCCAATCACAAGTGCATTTTCTGCGGCTCAGCAGACTGTCGTGCACGGGCCTGTGGACTTACCCAAACTTCCTTCATCAAACGTGATTCCTCGGGCCTCTGGGCGACAGCTGCAAACGAGCAAGTTTGCTTCCGCTACAACGGAGCTCGCGGCTGCCCAAAATCAGAGTCCGAGTGTGGACGAAAGCACCTCTGCACCCGCTGCGGACAACCTCACCCGGCTCAGAACTGCGCATAAGAACGGTTTCCTTCCCATTGTCACTCCCTTTCGCTGGGAGAAGTGGCAGGAGCTCCTCACTGAAGCAGGGGCCCTGGATGATTTTTCTGACATTCCGCTTGGTATCCGCTTTGGCTGGCGCTTAGGCGTTTCAGACTCTTTCCCTCTCAATTCTTCATTCATTCCAGACAACCATCAGTCGGCCGTCGAGCATCCCGATTTTATTCTCAACTACATTCACGCTGAAACTCGCGCTGGTCGTTATACCGGCCCCTTCTCCCCAGATCGTCTAGAATGTTTAATCGGCCCTTTTCGCACAGGCCCCCTCGGTGTCGTTCCCAAGCCCGGTTCTGCTAAACTTTGCCTCATCCAGGACCATTCCTACCCTCGAAACCATCCAACTATTCCTTCCATCAACTCCGACATCGACACTTCGAAATTCCAATGTGACTGGGGTACTTTCGCCGAGTGCGAAACCCTGGTCACTAACGCCCCCCCAGGGACACAGGTAGCTGTCTTCGATGTCGCGGCAGCTCATCGCCATTCCCCCATCGCCCCAGAAGATCAGTGTTTCGTTTGTGTGATGTTTGTCGTCAACGGCGTTAAACTCTGCTGGATCGACCACACCGGCTGTTTCGGCTGCGCTAGCTCGAACGGCCTCTTCGGTCGCCCCGGCGACGCGATCGTCGTCATTTATAAGTTCAAAGGTGTCCAGGACATTCTGAAGTGGGTGGATGATTATATATTCTTCCGCTATCCAGTTCCTCCCTCCGCTTCATCTCCTTGGCGTTATTCTTACAACGAATCTCTTATTTTTAGCATCGCGGAATCCTTAGGTTGGCCTTGGGCGCCAGAGAAGTTTGTTCCATTCGCCTTCGTTTTCATTTACCTCGGCTTCTCTTGGGATTTGCCCAACAAGCTCGTCTCCATCCCCCCAGCCAAACGAGAGAAGTATCTCGCCCGCCTCGCAATCTGGATCCAAGACTCTACCGTCTCCCGCTTAGATTGTGAGGGCCTCATCGGCTGCTTACAACATTGCACGCTGGTCCTTCGCGAGGGGCGCTCTCACCTCCCGGCCCTTTTCCGTCTCCTTGCCTCCTTCAAGAACACGTCCTCACCTCTCCTTCGTCATAAAATCCCTAAACAAGTTTTGGCAGACACGTCTTGGTGGAGATCCCAGCTATCTTCAGATTCATGCTCTCGCACCTTCCGTCCCGCGCCAGACCCTCTTCCCCTTCGCGTCTTTGTGGACGCTTCGACCTCCTTTGGCATAGGATTCGTCGCAGACGACCGCTGGCTCGCCTGGAAACTCCTCGATAGTTGGAACTCGGAGGGCAGGGACATTGGTTGGGCAGAGATGGTGGCGATCGACCTCGGTCTTCGTGCCCTCGCCCATTCCGGTTTACGCAACGCCCACATCCATTTCCGTTCTGACTAGTGCTGCCGCAGTCCGGTCCCGAACCGTGGTTCGAACCCGAACCCATCCAGACTGGACCAGTGGTTCGGTCACAGGTTTGGTCTCTCTCCTGGACCGAACCCCCTAACAGGTTCGGGGTTCGATGTCGTCACTGAAAAATGCGGACCGGTTCGGACGCGTCCGGACCGGTCCGAACCTGCACCACGCGCACAATTCCAGCTGCGTGTTTTTCGTGAGGCTTCCTGTCAGTTTAAGTAGTGCGCTCACCAACTTCTGTTCCTTCTCTTCTTTTGACAGTAGTGTTCCCCACATTGCGCAAGCAACAAGGGTGCTTTTTTCAGCTATGCAACGACTCGAAGCACCGGTACTATGTTCACCGTCTCTCATGTTTGATAAGTTGCTAACTTCTTATGTTTTTTCATTCAGAATATACCTACTACTGTGGTGATTCCTGGGTTTTCCACCAAGTTTGCGCAATGGATTGTCATTTTGGAACTTGAAGGTGCGCAACATTTTTTTATTTAGTTTGAGATATATATATTCACTTGTGGTATAGGTTCGACATTCGCACTCCCTGCTGCAACTATGTTCGAGTTGTCTGCACCAGCCCGTCGTCCTGACGGTTCGTTGAAAAGCGCTGAAGAGATGGAGTGGATACACGACCCGGATGATGACACTACCATCCTCCCTCCCCCTCCTCCATCCAAAGGCACACTCAATTCATTCATCCGTCGTTCAGGCCGCGCTGTCAAGCCTACAGAGAAGATCCGGGAGACTGCCAGCAGTATCCCGGCCAAACGGTCAGCTGTAGGACCTCCTGCCCCCGCACCCAAGAAAGCACTCATGCGCACCAGAAACGAAGAGCGTGACGACAACGACAGTGACGAATACGACGCTGAAGAAGAAGCCCCTCCACTTGAGGATTTTACAGATGATGAGGAAGACGATGAGAATGAGGACGAGGAAGCTTACCAAAAGACGAAGAAGCTTGGTGACCAGGATCGTGAAGACCGTAAATCCCTCAAGAAGGTCGAACGCAGTGCCGATTTGACCACGATCTTTACTTTCGAGAAAGATCGTGTTAACCCCCACACCCAGGAGCGTGAAAATGGGTGGTGGTGTGAGGTATGCAAGGCTAACAATGTTCCGCTTCACCAGTGCTTTTTTAAGGGGGGTATTTCGACTCGACGCACGCACATTGCACGGAATCCCAAGTGCCATTACCCTATCTACAAGGACCGCTGTGAACAACGGGGTCTCACGATGCACGATCGTGCAATCCCTCGTAACTGCAAAGCGGACGTGCCGCAGCCTACCTTGGACGCCTCACTTACTCCCAAGATTCCTGCATTCACAAAGGCTGGACTCATGGATTACATTGTCGAACTCATTGTTGCCGAAGATGAGGTGAGCGACTCTCATTTTTGATATATTTTAAAACACTTATACAACATTATAGGCCTTTCAACTTGTAGATAAAGGACCCTTCCACCGCCTACTTCAATATCTCCGGCCATCACTTTCAGACCGAGACATTCCCCACCGTACCAAAACTCGGGACGAAATACTCGAACGTGCAAAGCTGGCAGTCGAGCGCGTGAAAGAGAAGCTCAGCCGTGTCGATAGCAAAATTTCCATGATGTTCGACTCTTGGATGTCTTTTCCTGGTCACCCTTTTCTGTCAATTACAGCGCATTACATAGATTCCCCAGCTGAAAACCCTCATGAGTGGGAACTTAGGGTGGAGCAGCTCGCGTTCGCACCCATTCACGGCAATCACAGCGGTGCGAACATCGGGAAGATTTTGATCGAGAACATCAACAAATATGACATCCGCACGAAGCTTGGGTGGTTCACGGCTGATAACGCATCAAACAACGATACTGCCATTGAGATGGTTGCGACCTCTATTGACCCTTACGGAGTGGAGTGGAAACCAATTGAGCATCGAGTACGGTAAGTTCGTTCATTAAGTACTGAATTTGAGATTACTGATGAATATTCAGTTGTATGGAGCACGCACTCCACTTAGCTGCAAAACACTTCGTTGAAGAAGTGGCTCCTACACCGGCAAGCGTCTTGCACAAGAAGGCAGCTCAAGCTGAAGACGAGGACGAGGACGGCGAGGAAAGTGTAGAATTTGACATTGGTGACACTATTGGCAAGGCGCTTGCATTTGTAGCGCAGGTAAGCTCTTTAATGATCTATCTGCTATTGTATAGTACTGACACGAGACCTTTGTTTAGGTCCGGAAGTCTCCTCAAGCTCGCGTCTTCCTTCAAAAGTGCTGCAAGGAGGTGAATGAGCCCCCATTGGAGCTTTTGAAATGGGTCCGCACACGTTGGGCGTCTCTTTTTAATATGTTGGAGCGTTTTTTTAAATTGCGCAAAGTAAGTTTTCTACTACCGACTACATGAACACATTACTGACTTGATTATTAGGGAGTAAACAGATTCATCCAGCTCGCTGATGACAGCGACGAGGTCCCAAATCTGAAGGGAAAATCATACGCGGATTTCAGGCTTTCAGCGCACGAGTGGGCAGAGTTGGAGTTGATCTGTGAAGTCCTCCAGGTAAGTCATTTCTCTCTACCTTCCGCAATTATGCTTATGTGCTGCACACCGCACACCAAGAAGCCAGCAGATGCTCAACAGAGCTTCTCTGCCACACGTGAACCAACCGTATGGAGAACCATTCCAGTGCTCGAATGTCTTCAAGACACTTTGCAAAACATGGCGAACGCATCAAAATTTGCCCGTTTCTCAACGGCCATTGAAGCTGGTGTCACTAATCTCCGCAAGTGGTATAGTAAGACTGACGACACAGATGTATATTTCATTTGTCTTGGTATGTATCTCGTATCTATTCTAATGCCTTTGAATGTCATTGACCTTGTTGGTATAGCGCTGGACCCCAACTACAAGGTCGCGTACGCGAAAGACAAATGGACCACTCATTCTTTCAAAAAAGGCATGCAATGCCTCGAGAGCACGGTACGTCACTCATCACTCATTTCTGTCAATTGTATACTAATCTTACATAGTTTGATATGTATCATCGCAGTAGTACTCCCTCGCAGGCTCCTGCAGAGCCGTCTGTTACTGCGCCTCCCTCGCTTGCTCGCCAAGGCTCGTATGGCCATAATTGGATGCGAAGCTCTGTCAAATCGCGTGTCATGAATGACGCAACCACACGAAGGCCTCGTCAAGAACTCGAGGACTATCTAGATGCACCGCTCGAGGACGTCAACAATGTGGTGGCCTGGTGGGGTGTACGTCTTGTTATTCTATTTGTATTGCTTTCATACTAACATGATTCAAAAAAACTTTAAAGCACCATTCTATACAATACCCGACTATTTCCCGCATCGCAAAGGACTACCTCGCCATTCAGGGATCAGCTGTTGCGTCTGAGAGAGCATTTTCGAGCGGCGGCGTTACTGGGACCGTGCGTCGCAGCTGTTTGAAGCCGACAACATTCGAGGCTCTTCAATTGCTCAAGAGCGCATACCACCAAGGTCATATCTCCGCAACAGCCCAGGCTGAATTCGCCACTCCTTATGATAACCGCGTCGACGTCAATGAAGAGTTCTAGTAGCTATTCATATTGTACATGTCATTTTCGTTTTGATTTTTTTTGCTAATTAAATCAATGGTTCGAGGGTTCGAACGCGTTCTGAACCTGAACTGAACCCTTGTGAACGCGTTCAAAAGGCGTCCGGTCCAGGGTTCGGCCATCTTGCCTGAACCTGACCACTGGTCGAGTTCGGGGTTCGCAGATATAGGGTGATGAACCTGACCGAACCGGACTTCGGCAGCACTAGTTCTGACAATCAAGGGGTGGTAGGGGCGCTCAAAGCAGGCAGATCTCGCGGCCTACCTCAGAACGATATTCTCCGTCGCCTTTCTTCCTTTGCACTGGACAATGACTTATGGTTCTCAGTGGAATGGGTCTCTTCAGCCAATAATATTGCAGATGCCGCTTCTCGCGGAATTTTTCCTTCTTCTCGTTCTCGTTTTGCCAAACCGCCTCCTCTTCCTAATTACTTAAAGCTCTTTGTCCACCTCGTTTAGTTTTAGCTGCTCTTCTGCTCTTATGTTTCTCTGTCCGTATCCACGCATTCCGTATCCACGCATTCTGTATCCCTGCAATTTTCTTGTCGTCTTGTTCTCGTTTAGCACAATCCAAGTTGCTTAAACGACTATGGCTTATCTGCGAAACATTATCTTTCCGGTAGGGATTGACTATGATGGTATGACTTATCTACGAAACATTATCATTCTAGTATCTAACGGTTATGGCTTGTCTGCGAAACATTATCATACCAGTATGAACCCACAAGAGCGCTTCTATTAGCTCTCCTACTTACTCTCCCATGAGTTCTGAGCTCTTCCTAAAGCTCTCATTAGGGCTGGCCTCAATCCCTCATCCATCACCTTCATCCGCCAGTTTTCTCTCTGATTCTGCTCATTCCCGCATCCAACTTGCCCTTGACCATGCTTGGGCAGACTCAACCTTATCAAAATACCGCGCCGTCGTCACCAATTTTCTCTCCTTCTGTGACTCAGAACACATTCCTCCTGCTGCTCGCTGCCCAGCCAGTGATCTACTTCTTTGCGCCTTTGCTGCTTCCCGCGTGGGTGGTGTCGTGACAAGAGGCTGCAGAAGTGGACACCGGATACGCATGGGGAGTGTCTTGATGTGCTCGAGGACGTCAATCGATGGATGATTTGACTTGGGCATTGAATGTCGCTACAACTGTATGTATGCTTTACTTTAGTCACACCTTGCAGAGGCGTCGACTAGGCGTGTGGCTGCGTTCGCATGTTCATTACATTCAAAATAAACGCTCGCTGGTGGTCCAGATCTCTCGATATCTGTCGAACCTGGGCTCAAGCATATTCCATATCTTAGCGCTCGCTGACAGATTTAGTGCAAGTGATTATCAGACGGAACAAACCGAAGTGTATCGAAATTCGAAGCACTGCCGCCAACAAGTATTCTCACCAAGGTTGCCTCTAACCACAGCATGCAAATCTGAGCATCTAGCAGATACACTCATCATTACCATCTTTCCTTGCCCTCGACTATTGATTTACGCATTCCCGTACCCGCCCTCATCGTCTCTTCTTGGCCATGCCCCGCAAAGAGGCCGAGTCAAGTACGTCAACCGGACGGAGAGAAGCGCTGTTAGACTCGCCAGCACGTGTTGCACCGCTTCGAGCGGGAGCAAAGTATCCACCACCATATGGTGCACAGCGCCGCCAGGATGCTCTTTGGGAAGGTGAGCAACATTATTATGATGTATATTGAGTTACCCATCAAGAAGCAGGCGGAAATGAAGCGCTCCCTCCTCGATGGCAACAGTATCAGGTGTTGGGTGGTACAATAGGATATCAAGACGACACGCTTACTATGGCTTCATACAGCCGACCTTTACCAGGAGTGCGACTAGGTGAGCGAAGAACGTGCCACTAGGAGCAAGGAACTCATGGCTGAGCATAGATCAACCTGGACAACTCGTTATTGATGGGTGCGAATGGCACATCTCGCCACTCGGCCGGTCCTACTTTGTCAACCACAACAGTCGGACCACATCCTGGAAGAAACCAAAGCCAGTGCGTCCGGCAGAGAGCTTGGTGCCGGAGTGCATCATCGAGGGTCACTCTAAATGCATATGGAGCCTTGCCTGCTTGGGCACCAGTTGTAATATACTGAGTGCGTCGGAAGACTATTCGATTCGCCACTGGAAAAGATGCGGAGAGCCAGTAGGAAAGCCTTTGGATGACGATGGTTGGGGGATATGCTCGATGACATTATCTCCGGATGAAACAATGGTCGTGAGCGGAAATACGGACGGTAGACTACGACTGTGGAACATAGAAAAGAGCATCATGGTCGGCGACCCGTGGGAGGGGCACAATGATGCGGTGAGGTGCCTCGACTGGTCCCCCAATTCCTTGGAGATAGCAAGTGGATCGCAAGATGGCACCATACGACGCTGGAATCCGAATGATGGCCGGCAAACAGCGACGCCAATAGAGACCGGTCATGGTTGGGTGAATGCTGTCAAGTACTCTCCGCAATGCGACAAATTCACGAGCGGTGAAGACGAGATTATCCGCGTGTGGTCCAAGGACGGGCAGTTGCTCATCGAGATCAAGGGACATGATTACTCGGTTACGTCATTGTGTTGGTCCAAGGACGGCGCACATATATTCTCCGGGTCACTCGATTACACCATCAGAAAATGGCGGTCAATTGATGGGGAGGAGCTCGTTGTTCTTCGGGGTCATACCAACTCCGTCGACTCCCTGTGTCTGTTACCTGATGAAGGTCATCTTGTTAGCGCATCACAAGACTGCTCAGTTCGCATCTGGGACCTCAAGACCAATCAGCCAGTCGGAGATCCACTCTTACATGACGACGAAGTCTTAACTCTTGCCATATCCCGTGACGGACAATACATTGCTAGTGGTGGATTAGACGCAAAAATCTATGTTTGGAGCATGGAGGCAGCGCTCAATCAGCGGGGTGGCGACCAAGTTGGCGTGCGTATGTGTATTGACGCCTTAACACGTTTCTAACGGTTCTGGTTTAGAGCATGGATGATGCCAATGCAAAGCCTGACGCGAAGTCCCAGGCAAGTCAGCCCCGATCCTCTTCTCTTTCCCACTTGATCTTACCTTTTCCTAGGGGCATCCAGTCCGACCGAGAGATGTGCGCCGATCAGTTGTGATTAACCTTGTCCTTCGCTCATTTGTTTGTTCAGCACTTCTCCTCACACCCAATTTTCTCCACACAGCACGCGAGTAACAAAGGCTCGGCGAAATATGTCAGTGTTGCTTTTCGTTCCTGGGCTCTTTCTCCCTGACACTGATATAGGGCAAAGACTTCTTCGCCAACGATACAAATCACGCGCCAGCTCCGCCTGCGAGCCCATCAGCTGTCCTTCATAGTTTGTTCGGTTCACTACGTTTCCGTACTCGACCTCCAAATTCACCTCGACCAACAACGCGCGAGCCCCGACATTGGAATTTCAACTTAATTCCTGTAGGGAATTCCAGACGCGCTGTTGATGTACCCGCTGCTCGTGATGAAGACGTGAGTTTTCTCGCCGTCACTTCTCTTTCATTCCATTGAAACACAATGCAGAGGTACGGTATTACCCCTGAATCTGATGCAGAAGCTGCCGCAGCTATGCAACGTACGAATATCAACAACGAGGCTGATAGTTCAACGCAACCAGGTCAACCTACGCCGGTGGTACAAGGGTCTCAGGGGCGACCAACAGAAACACAAGGCCCAAGTGATGGGACGGGAGACCTGTCTTATGAAGTTAAGTGCTGCGGCTGCTGCGGATTTTTCTTTGGTCGCCGTCATCCCACTTCGCATCGGTCCTGAGGTCATTTGCTGGAAGTCACTCCATATTTTTCTCTTCTCTCTCGTGTGCGGTTAGGCTTTGTATCTCACTCCTAGCTCGTGCTGTCCTATGCAGATGTACTGTATGATAGACGCTGGTATAATTACGGTAAGCGCTGAGAAAGATGACCGACTACCTTGTGTTAGCGGGAGAGCCTGGCGGGTTTCACTCATCTGGAATAAACAAGCGCCTCCTGGTGCGGTGACCTTACAACAATTTCTTTCCCAAGGAAAGAACCTGATATTGTGCAGATTCAGAGCCGCGTGGATGCCCAGCCAGAGTCAATGAATGGATTTGGCAAGGAGTTTTTGAATCAATCGTGTTGCAATTGTTGGCTTTGCATCGATGCGATCATGGGTTCGACAGGCTAGTGCCAATTTGATGATCGTTTGAATGATCGTCTGCGTGTTGCGGCCGGGGGCAATCACCTCATCGGGCGTTCCCCAAGTAAATATGTTTTATAACTGAATATTGCTCGACAACGCCAAGTCGCATGAACACAGAATGGATATGCACGAGAACGCCTGTGTTCAAAATGTCGGACCGTCGCAACACTTGTACTGGGGCCCTAGGAAATTGCCACATCTGTGCCGCACCCTGCTGCACACTTAACAATGTCTTATATGTCTGTACAATACGTCTACGTCGTACGCACATGTCTTAAATATGTTTTCAGAATAAAGAATACTATATTCCAAGTGTTTGTGTAAGGATCAGTGGTTTTACACGCCCGCAAGTTAGCTATGAATAGGGACGAGAAGAAATTTAAAGGATATGGTAATAAAACACTTCTTCAAATCAACATGGATAGAGCAGAAAAACAAGAGCAACGACAGAAAAGAAATACTCGAGGACATCCATGAGAGCCGCTAGCAGCAGAAACACGACTTGCCACCTCCATGTTCCCCAGCGGCTACCTGCATTGCTACTGGTTGTCGTTGCTGCTGCGTATTGTGTTGTTGTGTACTGGGCTGTTGCGTATTGGGCTGTGCATTGGGCTGTTGCGTATTGGGCTGTTGTGGATCTGGATCATCATCATCGACATATTCAGCACGTATTATGTCTGAATCGTCATCGGCAGGAGCACCCGCTGCAGCATTACGCTGTAGATATATGCATGAGACACCCAAGACAGTAATAAAAATCGAGCGAGCGCACCTTTCGACCCTGCGCGAAAGGAACTTCGACGACGGGCGGTGCTGTATGATCAGGTCGCCAGGTGAATAGGTGTCGTACGTGGGCTGTGAAGGTGGTTGGAGCAGCGGCAGGTGGTAGGGCGGTGGGCGGTGCTGGTGTGGGTGTAGGTGCAGGTGGTGGAACTGGATGAAGATTTCTTGTCATAGCGAGCCTGAGTTTCTTGAAGCGCCCCGGGCGCTGCTGAGGTTGTGGTCTGGAGATTTGAGAATTCTGTAATGAATAGTGTGTGTGAGAGAAACAAAGATAAAATGTACTGTTGCACCCACACCATCCATGCCCCGGAAGAAATGAGGTTCTACATCATAGCCATCTTGATCTTGCCCCGGAATCTCCGCCTGCATAACTCAGGTCAGTAGCGAAAAGGGTGAGGAAGGGAGTACATGCGCCAAGAATACGGTCATCACGAGCAGCAAGCGCACATTGTTCCTTGAAGTCTGAAAGAACTGCGGGTGAGTATGATAGCCTTGAATGCCATCACTTAAAACTTGCCGTTGGACCAATCGAGGCAGCTGGCCATCTCAGTTTCGTCGAAGGCGTCCAACATATGTTGGTGTGATTTAAGGGCTTCTTCGACTTTACCTGCCGAAAGGAAAGCCTGACAGCGTTTCTGGTGCGTAGTGAGCCAGAAGGACTCAAGATCCCAACCGAAAAGCTGGAGAAAGCACTCAGTTATGGTATTTTCCGATGCATGATGTAAACGTACCACGGCCAAGTCCTTGTAAAGTTCATGTATGGTTTCAGGGGAAGCACTGGAGTTGACGGCGGCGGAGAAGTGGTCAGCGGCCTCGTCATGACGCGCGCCATCCAAGGCCTTGGTTCCGAGCTGAACGCGTAGATATGCCTAATGTGCGAGTTGCAAAGATCAGTATCGATAACCAAGTGTAGGCATGATACTTACTTCCACAACACGTTGCGCGAGAGTATCAGCATTCGGACAAGCGGTGGCTAGTTCTTTGATGATCAGCATCGCCTCGTCATGTTGATCTGCATTGAAGAGGGCAATGGCCTGAAATATGGAATGGAGCAGAGAGCATGCGAGGTGAACATAACCTACCTTGATCAATAGAAGAAAATGAATGATGTCTGAATCTTGGTTTGTGAACATGGATGCAACGTCAAATGCTACCCTTGCGTCCCGGACATTGCCTTTGCCGCAGAGGGCTATACCTTTCGAGATGTAGCCTACCAATGAGGGCTGGATGCTGATGGACTAGTATGTCACGGACGAAAGTTAGCCTTTCGTATAGGGCGATAATTGGTTGGTATGACTGACCTTGATTGCATCCTCCAGGGCGCGGTCCCAGTCTTGTTCTCGCGCCATAACAAATGAGCGACTGGCATAGGAGGTATTGACATTGGCGCCAATCCCTTTTGTGAGTAGCTGTTCAGCGGTCGACAAGTCTCCAGTGATGGATGAACCACGGGCTGCCGTGATAGTAGTGGGGATCTGTGTGAAGCATGCTCAACTTGTGTGATATGAGTCAAGCTTTCAAGGACGGAAACTCACGCTTGAATGAAAACCCCTGCGTGCGTCCCACTCCGAGATCCGTTTACCAAAACCTCCGCTGAGGATGCTATTGCCGTTCATAGAGAAAGTGAGGCACTCCGGGCTGGACACGTGCTTGAAGATGGCAATGGTTTGTCGATTCAAGATCCGCCAGAGACGGACATGGTTGTCTTCAGATGCGGAAGCAACGAGCGTGCCAGCAGGATTTACGGCGATGGCGTTGATTGTACCAGTGTGGCCCATCCAGGGATCACCAACCTTCTTCCAGGTTGATGTATCCCACTCTTCTATGTCGTTACGCGCGGCAGAGAGAAGGCGTGTGCCATCGGGCGTCCACGCGAGTGTGTATGCGGAACCAGTGTTACCCTGTAAGGTTACGATGTGTTCCCTTGTGTCTGAATTAAAAATTTCGATATCGCGAAGTGTTGCGATGGCAAAAAGTTCACCGGACGGCGAATATTGAACCTGGTAGACATCAGATTTAAATTGAAAATCAATATGATTTCCTTGTTGCTGCCATGTTTTAGTGCACCATAGCTTGACCGTGCTGTCGGTTGAACCAGTGGCCAACACTGTACCATCCGGGGAAAAGTCCAGCGATGTGACTTTTTTGAAGCTCGAGTGGGCTTTGATGGGTTGGGTGAGAGATTCTCCTGTTTCTCCGTTCCAAACGATAACCTCTCCATTTCCATCACCGCTTGCTATTATTCGCCCATCTCTTGATACCGCCAATGCAATCACCATACTGCGATGCTCTATCTTCTTCAACAAAACACCTGTCTTCAAGTCCCAAAGACAAAGTGTCTTATCCCTCGAGCCCGTAATCATTCTTCGTCTATCAGGGAAAACTGCGACTGCGCTTATGCTTGCTTCATGATCAAAAGTTCGAAGGGATGTGGTGATTGGAATGAGCGTTGTCATTTTACTAGATGTTGGTAGCGTTGAGCACGGTCGAGGTCGACTTTGGAGGGCTTGTGAGCGTCTATCAACTGCAGAGGTTGCGTGTATCGTGCGTTTTTACCTTACTTCACTAAATTAACCAGCCTCATTTCCATAGACGCCCAAGAAACGAGGTGGTTCGCTTCCACACCTTCATGAAATGCTCCCTATTGTCACACTTGCTTCCTCGACAGTAGACCCTCCTGCTACCTCAGCAGTATACATTCGTCCGACTCTTGCTTCCCGGCGCTTGTATCAGGCTGAAAGTTATCTATCATAGATGATCGCATCAATATTGTTGTTTCTGTTGTCGAGCAGTGTCTCCAACATATCACCGTGTAACTTGCCCGAACAGTTTGCATACACCTGACTGCAATATAGTCTCTTCGTTTCGTTGACTCCCAAGATCTGCGTGTGCACTAGATGCAGCCGACTTTCTTTCCCCTCACGCCTCAAATCAGCCACTAGTTGTGTAGCGGAGTTTGCGCCTTCCGAGGCATATTCTATCCAACACTTATGCGATAATCTTTGCCAATGGCACGCACTGGGCCAGCCAGTGGGCCGCACGATGCCGGAACCGATGTTCAGTGTGGATGCGAGCACCAGTTTCCAGAGGTCATCACGGTCTCAGTCAGTCATGTCCATGCAGACATCGGTTGATCACTTGACTGTGATCAGCAAAGGGCACATCCATCTGGAGCCACGGTGGTGGCTCAGTATCTGGCGTAACGATTGGGAGTGAGCATAGATATTATTCGATCTCGAGTCCGGACCAGTGCCCACCACTGAAAAAATCACTCGTCCGGTTACCGCGGTTCAAACTTGCACAGGTCCACGTGTTGCATCACGTGCATGCGACCAATTTTAGCACCACCAGCCAGTTACGATCGGGACCTACTTCAAGAACGATCGTTTCAAATCCGTATCTGTAGCACGCTCTGAAGTGGCAGAAGATCTCTGAAGCAATATAATGTATTGTACGATAGTGAACACCCTGACGCCTGATCTTCTTCTAGTGCTTGAATTATGAAGCGCCCCAACCAGGCCCTAGGCCCAAAGTTAGAAGTAGATCACATCACGACACCTGCGCAGCGCTGGAATGGAGATCGATCTATCAGCGTGATCCACCTTGATCAGACCTCGTCTGAATCATAGGGGACATCTGCAATAGCACAACTTGAAGATCAACCATATAGGTAGGACACAAACACGGTACACGATGCCTCAACACACTCAGATCTGACAGGATCGATAAAGCATCTCGACAATCGATTAGATGCCACGTTGTCGAGAATTTGACACACCCAAATCGATCGAGATTTCTATTCCGCGGATTCAACTTTTTACTTCTGGCACCCCGATCAATCTATAGATCTACAGACTGTGCTTCCAAGAGTTCTTCAGATCTCGTCCTTCGTAAACTACGAACCACAGATCCGATATATCGATACCAGTACCAAGTATTACACTAATTATCAATTCAAAAAAAATCATCATGAGAGGTCAAAAAAATACGTATCATCTCGTATCAGTATCATTATACCACACTCTGGCAAAAAAAAGCCAAGAAAAGAATTACAAGTTCATTAGAACCGAATCATTATACGCGATATACATATACGACAACAAGCGTGCACCGCTGATGGAAGATGCACAAGATAAGATGGATTACAAGAGCGCATTTGAAGCGTTAACAAAGCCAAGTCTTGGAACAAAAGTCAGAGTACTGAGTAGATGAAAAATATGCGATGCGTGATACGAAGAACAACTCGGAAATCAGGTTTTTGAAAAGTTGGAAAAATTGTTGGAAAGGCGATGCGATGGATGATTACGAACCTCACGGATGGGTGTAGTTCCTCGGTGCGACCCCTTCCTTCGATTTGTGGGCAATGATAGAGATTCATTCACTGCCCAAGCCTCACTGCCTCAGCATCGAATGCGACTGAGGAGCAGCGGGCAGGTACCAAGGCGGCGTAGGCGGAAGTCCAGGCCGAGACGGAGGATGGTGCGCAGAAGATTGGTGGTGCCCTTGCGCAGACGTAGACTGATGGTGTCCTTGCGCAGACGTAGATTGATGATGTCCCTGCGCAGACGTAGACTGATGATGCCCTTGCGCAGACGTAGTTTGATGGTGCCCCTGTGCACTCGCAGATGGATGATGTGCCTGCGCAGTCGGCTGATGATGCCCCGAGGCATTCGTAGCCTGATGGTGCCCTTGATTCTGTTGAGAAGCAGGCTGCGCCACAGGCGTATGAGACGCAGCAGGTGCGTGACGCGACGTAGACCCCGATGATGAATTAGTAGTTTGATGAGTCATAGAAGGGGTCGTGTGATGGGATATGGACGGCGTCTGGTGATGTTGAACAGACGGGGTTTGATGATGTACAGAAGGCGTCTGATGGTGTTGCGCAGACGGGGTTTGGTGATGCACAGATGGCGTCGACCCATGAGAAGGCGTTGTATGATGAGACATCGACGGAGTAGCATGATGAGACATCGATGACGTCTGACTATGAGACATGGACGGCGTCTGGCTATGAGACCCAGACGGATGATGCGGCGAAGACTGATGTTGAGCACCCATACCAGGGGACTGCATCACCCTCGTCGACGACGGACGCTTCGACGTCGCCGGGCGCGGAGGACGCGTATACGTCCCACTCCCGCTCCCGCTCCCACTCGATTGGGCATTCGGACCCGGGCCCGGACCCGGATTTGGATTCGGATCTTGATCTTGCATCGCATCCCCAGCGTCCGCTGTGTTGATCTGGAACGAGCCTTGATGGATCCCCAGGTTCATCTTATCGTCTCCCCCACCGCTACCACTCCCGCTTCCATGTCCATTTCCGCTGCCTGAACTCATCACGCCTCCACTGCTGGATCCACCCCCTCCTAAAGCAGCACGCGCCCCTTTATCGGCATCAGCAGCTCTCGCACTCGCACGTAACATCTCCATATCGATGCGTTGAAGCGAAGGCGTTTCCCCATTTGCAAGGGCTTTCTCGCGCTTTCGGACGAGCTTTGCGTAGTCTGCGAGCGAGTTGGAGTTTGGGTTGAAACCAGAGCGAGTTGAAGCATAGCCAGAGCGAGTTGGAATATAGCGAGTTGGAACACATAAACGATCATCAAAAAAAAACCCATCAACATCGATCCCACACAAAAGAACAAAAACATCACATACGCAACCCACACGCATTACACAACGTCCTCGCACCGTCCGGTCCCCGTCTCCACTCTGGCGTCTCTCGAATATTGCAGGAATGGCATTTTCCAGGGGGTGTTGCTCGCTATCCACCACCGCAATCACAATCACAATCACAACACCACACGGAATCACGACAAATGACGAGCAAACACCAAAACCAAATCACGACAATCAACACCAAATCACATCCAAGCAAAAACATAAATGACTCACACTCCGCTTCCGATACTTATTCTTCCCACTTCCCCCTCCCCCACCACCCCCTCCCAACGCAGCAGCAGCCGCCATAGTCGTCAACGCCCTCTTCGTCCGTATAAGCTCCATATCCGCCTCAGCCGTCGTCCGATCTTGTTCTGGCCCCGTTCCTGTCCCAGTCCCCGTCGTCGTCGTTCCAGTGATCTGCTGCGCCAACCCTGACCCAGATCCAGACCCCGTAACCGGAGCAGACGCAAGAGGAACATGTCCTACACCCAACAATGAAGACCCAACACCAACGCCAGACCCAAGAGGCATCATACCTTCAACATCCTCCCAAGGCCGCTTCGGCGCCCGATCAGGCGCGTCTACGTCCATAATTCCCATTCCTATGCTGGAGCTGGAGGTGACGTGTCCTTGGGTTTTGGCTATGCTTTCTAGGGAGTGGGAGTGGGGGTGTACGGAGACGAGCGCGTGGGGAACGGATGTGGATGTGAGTGTGGATGGGGAGGTGGAGAGGAGGGAGGAGGGGAAGATGGGCGTGTCGTTTCGGAGGGCGTCGAGGAGACGGACGACTTCTCCGGCGCGGGCTGTCATTTCTTGGAGTTCTTCTGCGGGTGGTTGGAGGTGTGGGTTGGAGGATTGAAGCATGGCTGTGGGAGACGAATTAGTGTTGGAATTGAGATTGGAAAGTGGGGGGTATGAAGTATCATTTCGTTAAGAGCATGAAAAATGAAACAGAGGAACACAAACATCGACCAAAAACGTAAAACTCGACCAAAAGAAAAAAAACAAAACGGAAAATCGCACCATAATGATCCGCAAACTTATACAGCGCCGTACAATGCTGAACGATCTAAAGACAAAACGTCAACGTCGTCCCCTCGAAGTGGGGCTCCCACAAAACGTCAAATTAAGACTCACCTCCCGAACGACATCTTCCTTGCCCATCCTCTCAGTACCGGCAACCCTCTGAGATCCCTGAGGCTGTGACTGTGACTGCGGATGCGACTGTGAAATGAACCCTGTAGATCTTGCTGGACCTTCCAACATCATAGGCGGTCTTGTCTGTGATTCCAGAACCGTAGGTCTCGCTTGAGACTCGAACGCAGCAGGTCTTGCTTGCGATTCAAACGCTGCGGGTCTCGCTTGCGATTCAAACGCCGTAGGTCTTGCTTGTGACTCGAACGTTGCGGGTCTTGCCTGTGATTCAAACGCTGCGGGTCTCGCTTGCGACTCAAACGCCGTAGCTCTCGGTTGAGACTCGAACGCCGTTTGCCTCGACTGCGATTCGAGAACCGTCTGCCTCTGGGACTCAAACACCGCAGGCCTCGCTTGCGACTCGAGAACCGTCTGTCTCGGTTGAGACTCGACCACCGTCTGCCTCGGCTGGGACTCGAACACCGATTGCCTCCCCTGCGTCTCCACTCCTACTCCTCTAACCTGCGTCTCAAGCACCGCTGGCCGTGTCTGTGACTCGAATGTCGTAGGACGCGCTTGCGATTCGAATGTAGGCCTAGTTTGCGACTCGAACGCCGTAGGACGCGCTTGTGACTCGAACGCCGTAGGCCTTGTCTGCGACTCGAATGTAGGCCTCGTCTGCGACTCAAACGCCGTCGTCCTCCCCTGCGACTCAAACGCCGTAGCCCTCCCCTGCACTTCAACCCCAACCCCCCTCTGCTGCGAATCCAAAACCAACCCCCTACTCTCGACACCCACACCCCTCACATCACTCCCAGACTGCCTCTGCATCAAACTAGGCCTCACTTCCACCGCACGCGGCTCGACTACGCCCACGCCTGCACCCATATTACGCGTATCGTTTGAAGTCGATCCACGCGCGTGCGTTTGTGTTTGTTCTCGTGGTTGGGGTTGAGGGTGAGGTGGTTGGGATTCTAACACCGACGAACGCTGATCCACCGCTCTTCCCTGTTGTCCATGCGTCTGCCCCGCATGAGTATTATTATCGTGCGAATAACCCAACTGCTGTTGTTGCTGCTGCTGATGGTGATGGTGCCTCTCGCCCGCATACGCCCGCACCTCCGTATGCGAATAACTGCGTTCGACAGGCGCGTACGTTCTTGTATCCTGTGCCGGTTGCTGCTGCTGCTGCTGTGACGACGGGTATGATGGAGTCTGAGTTTGGGGAGGCGCAGGCGGGGGATACGTGTTTCGGGGTTCTGTAGTAGGAGTATACCGCGTGTCTTGGGGCTGCGACTGCGATTGCGTTTGTGGTTGCGGTTGTGGAGCTGCCTGCTGCGGTGGAGGAACATAACCCCTCGAATCGTACCTGCCGTCTGCGGAATAGCGGCCGTCTTGATATGCGGCACGCGCGTCCTGAGGGGGATAGACGGACCGTGTATCAGAGGCGTATGTCCTGTCGACCTCAGGGCTTGTTGCATACGCGCGTGGATCAGGAGGTGGATACGCCCGTGTTGGGTCTTGGGGATATCTTGGGTCTTGGGTGTAGGTGCGAGTATCGGGGGGTGGGTAAGCTGCTGCACGTGCGTCTTGGGGGTACCGCGGATCGGGTGGGTAGCGTGGGTCTGTGTATCTAGGGTCAGGAGTATAAGTTCCTCTAGCGTCTTGGTTATACCGCGGATCCTGGGGATAAGCGGGGCGTGTGTCTGGTGTGTAGGTTGTAGGGCTTGTTTGTACAGTTGAATATGCAGCTGCGCGTGCTTCTGCGGGTGTGTACACGCTTCGATCGTCTGGTTGTTGTGGGTCACGTGGAGTAGGGTTTGGGTAACGGGGGTCATGATAGCGGGGGTGTTGTCGATCTTGTGGAGTTGGGTACCCTGTGCCCGAGGGAGTTCTGTCGTTGGGGAATGGTTTGTCGTCTATGAAATTTGGGTTTCTTGTTGAGCTTGAAGTGGAAGTTGTGCTTTCTGCTGTTGTTGGTGGTACGTAGTGGAATGAAGAGTTTTGAAATTGGTTTGAGTAGTAGGAAGTACGTTGAGTGAGATGTGGACGTGCACTAATTGGGGTTGGGTATGGAGCACTGGCTGCTGGATCTACCGTTGTTGGTACTAGGGGAGTTGTACGAGCGAATTGTTGATTCGGTGGCCATGCTGCACTGAGAGGAGTTGGGTAGACTGTGTCGCGATCTGGTTCTGCGGTTGTATGTGCTAGTTGTAGTGACTTTATTGGTGGTAGTCGTACTTGAGCTTCACCGCTTGAACCTACTTGAGGACGTGAACGACGAGCTGGCGAGGCCATGTGCCAGCCTTGATATGTTTGTTTGTTTTTTATTTTTTATATATTTTTTGTTTGGATTGAACGTTTTGAACGGTGTGGGGGGGGAATGTTGTAGTGGATCTTCGGCGTATCTCCCGATGGCGGCGGATAGATCTGAGACGAATCTCGGTGAGATTCAAGGATGCCCGATCCAGGTAGATGATAGTTGATAGCTAACCTTTGTTTATGTTAGGTTGTATGTTTAACAGTCCCAGCCCACTCTACAGACGTCAATGAAGGAGTCAAGTCAAGTGTGTTGAGCGAAAGGAAAGGAAGACGAGGAGAGGGACTGGGCTGGTGCAGGGGTTAGGGCGTTCCCGCTGCGTTTTTCTTTACAAAAGCGGAGAATCAATACAAACACGTGGGCTCTTAAGTCGGCTCTCGGATCTCGTTTCAATCTAGCCTCACCTTTAACACGTTGCAAGCACTGCAAAAACAAAACCTTTGTCACCGTTGAGAGAGACGACGAGCTCGATGTTTGAGGAGAGTTGTCGTTGTCGCAGTCGCTGAGAATTCGCTCGATCTAAGATAAATTACAAATCATAAAAAAATAGTTGTTCAAAAATCGGCGATCTGATTCCCGATAGATCGCATAATGTCGCCATCGTTGGGTCACTGAGGGTCCCCATCGATACTAGCATCCTCGGTTTATCCAGGTGACCCTGCACAACGCTGGCATAACTCTATTCAATAACTCAAAACAATCCAATCTTATCGTCATCCTCTCTGTCTTATTTAGACCCTGGTGTTTTTGCCAGCTGTCGCAGTCCGTCATCTCGTAAATATGTACCTTCCCCCTCCCATCGCCATCGGACTCGGACAAACGTACATCGACGTAAATTGCCCTTTGTCTTCACACGTTCTCTTTTTCAACGTTCCTCTTTGTTCGCCTCTCCCCTTGTCCTCGACCCAGACCAGTCTATTGTCTAATGCTCAAGGTTGGCATTTCTGGTGTGGTTGTCTCCAAGATATGCTCTGACTCCTTGCCCCCATCCATACCGGCAGCCCAGATTCATCTGACTTTTCAGTGTATCACCCATCACGAATCCACTTCTCCCCCGAGTACTGTCCACATGACGTCTAACAGCGCAGAATACCGCTCTCTGTGCTGTCGCAATGACTCGCAGTACCACGTGTCTCGCAAGATCAACTGATCAAACGACATATGGCACCATCAGTCATCTAGGCTTTGACGGTCGCGGTCGTTTCTCTTATGTTTCTTTGTGATCGGATAGATCATCCGCGATACATGTGCGGATTCAGATATCAATTGTCTGAGCTCAAATACGCCATTTTTACTTCTACTTTCTAGCCCCGTTGTTTTCTGTTCGTCCGTCCAGATGGATGATGTCTTTGCTATCGATGGCGTCCCGTCTAGCCAAAGTACATCAGCCATCTGGGCTTTTACGAATCAGGTCCACTTCTTTGTGCTCAGACAGATGATGGCAGTAGGAACCAACGATTCACGTGTACTTCCTCCTCTATCAGCTGTCTGAGCTCAGACGCACTACTCCAAGACCACTCTCATCGATGCCGGTGTATGTGTCGTAATCTCGTTCGATACTTTTTACTGACTGTTGTTCTTGGCAGGATGGGCTTCAACAGATCATAAGGACCCGAATACACATCTGACGCATGGTTTTGAGATCACTGACATGTCCCATCCCTTCGTTCCTTGTGCTCTGACAGACGATACTCGGGATTCATTGATGTTCATGCGGAATTCTGGGCTATCGGCTGTCTGAGCACAGACATGCTACTCACGTACATGTGCCAGCAGATGATCAGAGACAGTGATTGATATATCGTTTCTCATGATTATCTACTGGCCCTAGTAGGGCCAAACAAGTATCACTATTCATGCTCGCTTTGTGTTCAGATAGATGATGGGTAATGGAGCCGCGCGTGCGGAATCACTAACCTTTCAGCTGTCTGAGCATAGACGTGCTACTCACGCATATGGGCCAGCGGATAAAAATGTGAAGCGACATGTTACATATCACTTCGCATGGATATCTGCTGGCCTTGGTGGGGTGACTCTGATCGATGTCTGTGGTACAGGGTACGTGTGTGTAGTTTGGTGTCTCATTTTGTGCTTTACTGACGGTCGTATTTAACAGGATGGATTTCGCCAGATCGTTGCAATTTGCAGTCGTGTGTGTGCAAGATTGCTCTCCAGCTCGAATATGATCAAAGTAAGTACGCTAGGGTCTCTGAATATCGTAATCGGTATCTTACTTATACTTCGTCAGGTGCGCTCGGCACCTTCTCATTTGAATATTGAAGCCCCGGTTCTCTTTCGCAATTCCCCACTCTGGGAACCTTATCTCCTTGCCATGTGCGGTTCGTGATTGACGCATGTACTCGAGTTGTAAGTCTCTTTTCAAACCATCATATTCTTCCCATTTACCGTTCACGCGTGGAATCCCGTTCCTGTTCCTGTCCCTCCAGGTACACGTGTTCGATCTAGACCTGCCCATGACGCAAGGGCGATCTGATCGGCCCCCATCTATCGATGAAGTCATACATGCCAACGTCCAACGTGGGTATTTCTTGCACATTATTTGTCGGGATATGCTCTGACTTCAACTCCTTGTGACCTGCATGTTGGCCTTGTTCCTTGGTGCTCCATTCATACGCGAGATCGAAGGTCGGGGTCATCGATGCACGATCAACCATCTAGGCTTCCACGAACCATAAATCGCAAATCGCGAATAATTGTCACTTCTCCTGCTCTCTGTGCTCGGATAAATGGTATGCAGGGGCTTGAGCCTCGGGTTACCATGTATCCGAGCGGACAGCACTAATGTCGCTTCTCATTCTCTCTGTGCTCAGATAGTTGGTATGGAGGAGTTTGAACTTCGTGTTACCACGTATCTGAGCACGGACAGTACTAGCGTCGCTTCTCATGCTCTCTCTGTGCTCAGATAGGTTGTAATTCGGGGCTTGGACCTCGGGTTACCATGTATCTGAGCACGGACAGTACTGGTGTCGCTTCTCATGCTCTCTGTGCTCAGATAAATGGTTAGCATTGGGGTGAATCCTGTGTTACCAGGTATCTAAGCACGGACAGTGTCGCTATGACTGAACATGATGGCTGCTGGTGAATACCGGCGTTCATCGAAACCAATTGATCGATGAGTCAATATTAATATTCCCCGCATTCCCTTCATCTAGCCCAGATGGATGGTATGATAGTCTATTCTGCGTTATTCAGCAGGATTGCTATGTTATCAGCCCTCTGGGCTCGCTCCTTTTTTTCTTCGTGCTCAGATAGACGATCTGTCAGCTTCTTCTTGTACAATAGGAATGCTGGCATATCGGCTGTCTGAGCTCAGACACGCTACTTCTGCTTTTCAGTCGTCTACAGAATTCTCGTATCGCACCCTATAGGTCCGGCCAAAATGGAAGGAAGGTAGCACGCTGTGCACTGAAGTCCTTTCTCCTTGAAGACGCATCTGTCCTCAACGTGCTACCTTCATCTGGGGCTTTCACAAACCGTCACTTGTTCCTTCTTTCCTTCTTTCCTTTTTTTCCCTTCTCGCCTGCCCAAATGGAAGGCGGCGGCACACTAAGGACTGATGCGCTATTGATATTATGCAATGGTGCATCGGTCCTCAACGTGCTACCTTCATCTAAATCTAGGTTTATACAAACCGTCACTTTTCCTTGTTTGGGCTCACAGATGCTCTGTCAGGTGTCTGGGCTTTGACGCGCACCTAGGCTAGCAGACGTCTACCTGAAGATGTTATAGATTTTCGAGTGAGCATCTGCTGGCTCCAGTGCGACTCTGATTGACGTCGACGGGTATGCATGTCAGTATCTCGTCATTTAGCTGGATGGGATTTAACAGATTAAGTTCATTGCAAGGGGCCCTGATACAAGCTCGACGCACGATTTGCATTGGCACGAGGCATGCTAGTCCAGCGCGACTCTGATCAATGTATGCGTGTGCGTATCTCAGAATATCATGGTTGGCGCCTTGCTGATTGATACATTTGTCAGGTGCGCTCGGCGCGTTCTTGTTTGAAGCCCAGATTCTCTTTGTCTGCTCCCTACTCAACACACCTTATCTCCTTGGTATCCAGAGGCTATGCGTGTTCGTGATAGAAACATATAGTCTCTGTCGAGAGATTGTTTAGCGATTAGGGACGAAAAACATGCAGTCGGTGAGTATTTGAACATTGTCCAGGATACATATGGGCCTCGCCAAACACATCCACTTCATCATCATCATCATCTTCGTGCTCAGACAGATGATGAGATGGAATCGTGGGCGATGGTTAATCGCCCCGATTCACGTCATCAGTTGTCTGGGTTTCGTCTATGAGATTGGTATTCCTGTTAGAGATCGGTCTGCTGCTTCCAAGCGTTGAGAGGGGTACAGTCCTGTCGTTTCATATCGAACCCGTCAGACTCGAGCGAGGTGTGTGATGTGACGACACAGTTATTCCATCTCTAATGCAACTTTCATGCAGATGATAGCAGGATTATATCTTGGACGTTCAAACTGTGGTAAGTCTTTGTCACCACATTGATTAAAACGTACCAAGATGACACTTCAGGAGAATCAAAGTCGAAGAGGCCCGTGTCACCGTCTTATCCACGACTCCGGTGATTCAGTAGAAAGGGCGTTCTACGGTCGGCTCGACTCACAGGCGCCAATTCGGACCTATGGGCTTCTCAGGCACGCCTTGAGCCAAACATGTAGACTCGCCTCGCCTCGAATTCACTCTATCTAGATCGACTCGAATAGGTCAAATGAGACGATCTGTTGACAGATCCTCTCAACATGGTCAATTGTTCCGCCATCGTTCGTGTCCCTTTGTGTCGTCGTCATCTTGTACGGTTGTACCACGATGTGCGTTTGATCTCTTGATCAATCAACCAACGCCGTATAGTTACTGGGTATTCCTCGATTGGAATCATCTTTGCGATTACTACGATGACTTCCAATTTGTCTAATCGAAGGCTTATCTAACATCCAACTCTTCTCTATAGATCCATCGTGGTCCGAATTAATACAGAATTTGAATTTGTGTGCCGTACAGATTGACCATAATCGAACACGCTTGCTTCGTATTCAAGGCATTCCTCCATAAAAGACAACTGGTCCCCATCGATACCTGAAATCATTAATCAGAGTCGTTTTCCGTTCATTCGCTCCGCATATCACCCACAAGCAGTTTTCCTATTGGTCGGCCCAAACGAGGCCGCGGAGACATCACCGTGACGGTGCCCTTCAACCTTCTTGCGCATTCATATCTTTAAATACGTACTCATCATGTCCGTTCTCCACCTTCTATCAGCCAATTCATTGTCCAGAACCACGATTGCCCTCTTTGACTACCAAATCCGGAATTACCTCTCTTTAAGCCTGGTCACCGGCCGCTACCATCGTGCTCACGATCGTAGCACTCAATTGAAAAAAAAGTTCTCTCTTATCTTCGCACCGACCCCATACATACGGGGACTCCATGTAAGTCCACTGTGCTGGTATGACTATCTCTACTCGCAGAATCGAGTTCCGAAAGGAATTCCCGATATTTCCGATTGTAAGTAATTTGTATTTTGACCACCTCCACTACTTTGATGTACGTACGTACTCCAGGAACTGAACGTCGATGATAACGCATCGTACCTGCCCCTTCCATCAGACTTGAAGACTACTTCTCTATCTCCCCTTTTTGTGGGGATTGGACGTAATTGCCTTTGGCACCCTGCACGCGAGGTTATTTGGGACCTGCCTACCCCCCTTTGCGTTCACACGTTTCCGATTTCTGAATGTTCCTTCCCTTGTCTTTGAGACTTGCTCAATCTTCGATCCGCGTCTAGACCGTACCCCATTACCCCACCAAAAATGATCATCCCATCGATCGATCTAATCAAGCATTCCGATGTACAAGACAAGCCCTCCCTACGAACTCCCTGCGCCCCACCCACATATTCCCCCTCTTGTACTCCATCCGCTTTACCCCTCGCACTCCATTCACCCGAGTCCAGTGCAGATGGCTGATAATCCATCGGCTTCCACCTAAAGCAGAACCGTTGCATATCAGTCACGCAGTATCGAGCAGAAATGACTGGGTCAGTTGCTAGACTGAATAATTTCAGCTTGTCACTTGGTGTGTGTACAAGCAGGCACTTAGTTCTAATAGCGATACAATAAGAAATTGGTGATTCCAGACCTCCTTTGAAGTATACCATAACTAACATGTATAATACGACGAATTCTGCAATAAATTTCTTGCCCCCGCAGAACACCCGGCAAGCATTTCCCGTGCTATACAGCACTGCTGGTTGATATGTGTATACGTTCCTGGAACGCAATCGAACACATGCCGGGTCCTGCATCAGAGTCAGCCACGAGCGTAGCGTGATATACTCGAACGCTAAGGATGAGGCGTGGTCCGAGCACAAACATCTGCAACACAAGACAAATTTGAACGACACCATTAAAAATCGAAGCTTCCAAAGAATTTGGATACTAAAGACATGATGAGCAGTTGTTCCATGCAAATTATCGTCACAGATGAGCGCACCCAAAGATTTGGAGAGAGAAGACATAGGGTAAAGCAAGAAACACCAACAAAGCTAGCGTATACGGAACTTGAGCAGAAATAGATTACCACATTCATATTATAAGCTCACCTTGCAAAATAAAGCGCGTGAGATTTCATCAATATTGTAAAACAGCCCTTGATGGTTGATCCCGTCGATGATCCGAGTCGCCGCAGGTCACGGAAGTGTTTAACACGGATCCATGATGACAAACACAGTGCGAGGACCTCCCATACAGTATTGAGCATCCAGATCATTGCTACCAGCAAAGTGAAGCCTCCCGGATTGTGGTCAATGCATATGTTGGTGCCGCTAAGTATGAACTCCCCTGGTATTCCTTCAATCAGCTGGATTCTTTGAATGATACGTGACTGAGGCTTGAGCTTACCTGCTGAAACATACCTAAGTGCCATTCCGGCAAGCACTCCACAGGTCACATTGATGGCCAGGAAGATGACAACAAGAAAGATGAACACCTTCCTGGATCCAAAATACATGGCATACAATCGAGCAATCGTGATGACTTGCATCATATTTCAGTCAAGTCAATATCACTGGGGTATTGCGACTGGGCAGCTCACCGCCTAGCATGGCAGCTACGACTAAATTTATCCCATTGATCAAGAAGTTTGCAATATCGCCTGACACACCCTATCAGCGATCACCCAGGCTCGTAGGATCAAATAATCCAACTCACACCTATTGAGTCGTGTTGAGCCGAGTTCAATGTTCAGAATTTCACTCACCCCTACATATGTGTGCGTTAATGGGACGTGAATGGAAAGTATCAGTGCAGAATACTCACTGCATCTGTCATCGAGATAAATGGCATATATTCTGTTTTCGCTGGTGAGAAGAATTGTATACAGTGCATACGAGACATACTCAGAATGTTGATACTGGTCGTGAAAGATGGGCGATTAGTACAGCCGCCTTGTAAGCCTTGTGGACGTACACAATATATGGTACTCCAATATAGCGTATCTAGGACATTTTTGAGTCAGCACAACATGCCAATCACGCAATGGTATGACATGGGTACGAACGACGAGATACAGGACAGTCATGAGGGACCAGCGCCGCCTCTACCCCGAATTCATTGTATTCCACTCAGGTCTGTTTTTTTTTATAGGATTGTGTTGCTCACCCAAATCAGCTCAATCTAGTATGACACGACTCTTAGCACGTTGGCTGCTACGGCAATGGGGTCTGCCTACCTCTTGTCCAATTGTTAGTACTAGAAATGTTATTAGAATATATGAGTGGATTTCAAACACTGTCCTGCTCACCCCAATCGTATACCACCACAGCGGCGACGGCAACTACAAAAGTCAACATTAGATCGAGGCTCCACCAAAATGATATGACGAGCCTATGCAATAGCTGATAAAAATAGATGAATTAACTGTCGGCCAAAAACTGGGATCATCTGAGACTACAGTCATATTCGAGTGACGGGTGTAAGGGAGTGACGAGCTTGGTGGATGTATAATGATGGCGTTTTTGCTAGATATACCACCATTCAGTGTTTGTATCGACAAACATGATGGGGATAGATGTTGGTTACTGGACCTTGGTTGTTTGAATAAGTATTGCGGTGCGAAATCAAGCAAAAGTAGAAGTACTCTACCGAATCAAAACGGATTTTGAAGCGTAGATCTGCAAACAAGCCATTGGGCTATCGATATCAGTACCATCGCGAGTACAAAGCAAATTTGATGCAAGGTACTGTTTCATGATTCGTGATTGATATCTGTTGCCAAAATATCGACGCTATCCTCAGTCTGCCGCATATATGTGAAACTGTAGTGAAGTTTTCAACAACTTGTACTGCGGCAGTTTCATATATATGCAACACACTGTACTTACTAGGTTGAAAGAGAAATCGCGCATGGATACAAAGAAGCCCGAAACATAGAGAAAGGCCCAGTTTCTAATTGTACAGGCTCATGCCGATATTAATTGTGTTTCAGTGTTCTTCTGTCCTGACTTGAGCCAGTGTGAGTGAGATCACGGTATGATGTCAGATGAGTTGAAAGAGTTCAGCCAAGTCGGTGACTCGGATATTGATCCTTCATCATGCGTAGTGTGCTGCCGGTCGTTGAAGGTTCGTTGTGTTTCAGTGTTCTTCTGTCCTGACTTGAGCCAGTGTGAGTGAGATCACGGTATGATGTCAGATGAGGTTGAAAGAGCTCAGTCGAGTTTGTTTGTGACTCGGATATCAATTCTTCATCATGCGTAGTGTTCTGCCGGTCGCCGAAGGTTCGCAAAAGACAGCGAAGAATTCCAGGACGTGTGTCACAAAGTGATGTTCGTTCATATGTATGTAGCTAGAGTTGAGTAGTCGCGCACCCGATACTATTTGTCTACATAGTACAGACCGGTAATTTCCGAGCGCCTGCCAAAATTTCAACCTTCCTTTCGAAACCTTGTCTCGTACCTGCTCCCTCCCATCGCCATCGGACTCGGACCCACGTACGTCCATTCTGCCTTTCTATGGGATTTGGACATAATATTATCCTCAAAAAAATCATTTTTATATTCGCACCGACCCCATACGTACGGGGACTCCATGTAAGTCCACTGTGCTGGTATAACTCAGGCTATATCTACTTGCAGAATCGAATTCCGAAAGGAATTCCCGATATTTCCGATTGTAAGCAATTTGCATTTTGACCTCCACTACGTATACTCTGAGTGTATGTACGTACTCCAGGAGCTGAACGTTGATGATAACGCAGCGCCGCTCATGCGACTCTATGTGTCCGTTATACATCCATGTCGTTACACCTTCATAGAGCTCGGCATCTCGTATTACTCTCCTCGTACCTGCCCCTTCCATCAGACTCGGAGACTACTTCTATATCTCCCCTTTTTGTGGGGATTGGACGTAATTGCCTTTGGCGTCCTGCATACGCGAGGTTATTTGGGACCTGCCTACCCCCCTTTGCGTTCACACGTTTCCGATTCCTGAATGTTCCTTCCCCGTGTCTTTGAGACTCGCACAATCGTCGATCTGCGTCTAGACCGTACCCCATGACCCCACCGAAAATGATCATCCCATCGATCGATCTAATCAAGCATTCCAACGTACAAGACAAGCCTTCCCTACGAAGTCCCTGCGCCCACATATTTCCCCTCTTGCACTCTATCCGCTTTCCCCCTCGCACTCCATTTTCCCGCGTCCAGTGCAGATGGCTGAGAGTTTATCAGCTTCCACTTAAAGCAGAACCGTTGCATATCAGTCACGCAGTATCGAGCAGAAACGACTGGCTCAGTTGCTAGACGTTCTGAATAATTTCAGCTTACCACTTGGTGCGTGTGTGAGCAGGCACTTGGTTCTAACAGCGATACAATAAGAAATTGGGTTTCCCAGACCTATACCATAACTAAAATGTATAATACGACGAATTCTGCAATAAATTTCTCTACCCCGCAGAACACTCGGCAAGCATTTCCCGTGCTATACAGTACTGCTGGTTGATATGTGTACACGTTCCTGGAAGGCAATCGAACCCATGCCGGGTCCTGCATCAGAGTCAGCCACGAACGTAGCGTGATATTCTCGAACGCTAAGGATGAGGCGTGGTCCGAGCACAAACATCTGCACCATAAATAAAATACGAGCAACGCCAGTAAATATCAAAACTCCAACACAATCTGAGTCCTACAGAAATGATAATCAGTGGTTACATGCAGATTATCGTCACAGATGAACGCACCCAAAGATTTCGAGAGAGAACACAGAGGATAAAGCAAGAAACACCAACAAAGCTTACATTTACAGAACTTCAGTAGAAATAGATTACCACATTCATATTACAAGCTCACCTTGCAAAATAAAGCGCGTGAGATTTCATCAAGATTGTGAAACAGTCCTCGATGGTTGGTCCTGTCGATGATCCGAGCCGCCGCAGGTCACGGAAGTGTTGAACAACAATCCAGGCTGACAGACACAGTGCGAGGACTTCCCAAACAGTTTTGAGCATCCAAATCATTGATATCAGCAAATTGAAGTCTCCCGGATTGTGGTCAATGCATATATTGGTGCCGCTGAGTATGAACTCCCCTGGTATTCCTTCAATCAGCCGGATTCTTTGAATGATACGTGACTGAGGCTTGAGCTCACCTGCTGAAACATACCTGAGTGCCATTCCGGCAATCACTCCACAGGTGACATTGATGGCCAGGAAGATGACAACAAGAAAGATAAACACCTTCCTGGATCCAAGATACATGGCATACAATCGAGCAATTGTGATGACTTGGATCATATTTCAGTCAAGTCAATATCACTGAGGTATTGCGACTGGGCAGCTCACCGCCTAGCATGGCAGCTATGACTAAATTTATCCCATTGATCAAGAAGTTTGCAATATCGCCTGACACACCCTATTAGTGATCACCCAGGCTCGTAGGATTAAATAATCCAACTCACACCTATTGAGTCATTGTGTTGAGCCAAGTTCAATGTTCAGAATTTCACTCACCCCTACATTTGAGTGCGTTAATGGGACGTGAATGGAAAGTATCAGTGCAGAATACTCACTGCATCTGTCATCGAGACAAATGGCATAAATTCTGTCTTTTCTGGTGAGAAGAATTGTATACAGTGCATACGAGACACACTCAGAATGTTGATACTGGTCGTGAAAGATGGGCGATTAGCACAGCCGCCATGTTAGCCTTGTGAACGTACACAATATATGGTACTCCAATATAGCGGATCTAAAACATGTTGGAGTCAGCATAACTTGCCAATCACGCAATAGCATGCCATGGGTACGAACGATGAGATACAGCACAGTGATGGGGGACCAGCGTTGCCTCTGCCCCAAATTCATTGTATTCCACTCATGCTTGTTTTTTTCTATAGGATTATGTCGCTCACCCAAATCAGCTCAATCTATGACACGGTTCTTAGCACGTTGGCCGCTGCGGCAATGGGGTCGTGCCTACCTCTTGTCCAAGTGTTAGCGCTGGAAATATTATTAAAATATATGAGTGGTTTTAGAACACTGTCCTGCTCACCCCAATCATATACCACCACGGCAGCGGCGGCAACTACAAAATGTCAATATTAGATTGAGACTCCACCAAATGATACGACGAGCCTATCCAATAGCTGATAAAAATAGATGAATTCACTGTCGGCCAAAAACTGGGATCATCTGAGACTACAGTCATATTCGAGTGACGGGTGTAAGGAAATGACGAGCTTGATGGATGTATAATGATGGTGTTTGTGCTAGATATACCACCATTCAGTGTTTGTATCGACAAACATGATGGGGATAGATGTTGGTTACTGGACCCTTGGTTGTTTGAATAAGTACTGCGGTGCGAAATAAAGCAAAAGTAGAAGTACTCTACCGAATCAAAATAGATTTTGAAGCGTAGATCTGCAAACAAGCCATTGGGCGATCGATATCGGTACCATCGTGAGCACACAGCAAATTTGATGCAAGGTACTGTTTCATGATTCGTGATTGATATCTGTTGCCAAAATATCGACGCTATCCTCAGTCTGTCGCATATATGTGAAATTGTAGTTGAAGTTTTTAATAACTTGTACTGCGGCAGTTTCATATATATGCAACACACTGTACTTACTAGGTTGAAGAGAAATCGCACATGGATACAAAGAAGCCCGAAACATAGAGAAAGGCCCCAGTTTCTAATTGTACAGGCTCATGCCGATATTAATTGTGTTTCAGTGTTCTTCTGTCCTGACTTGAGCCAGTGTGAGTGAGATCACGGTATGATGTCAGATGAGTTGAAAGAGCTCAGTCAAGTCGGTGACTCGGATATTGATCGATATTGATCCTTCATCATGCGTAGTGTTCTGCCGGTCGTTGAAGGTTCGAAAAATACAGCGAAGAATTCGAGGACGTGTGTGACAAAGTGATGATCGTTCATATGTATGTAGCTAGTTGAGCAGTCGCGCACCCGATACTATGTGTCTGCCGGTAATTTCCGAGTACCTGCCAAAATTTCAATCCTTCCTTTCGAAACCTTGTCTCCCTCCCATCGCCATCGGACTCGGACCCACGTACGTCCATTCTGCCCTTTTTATGGGGTTTGGACATAATATTATCCTCAAAAAATCCTCTCTTATCTTCGCACCGACCACATACATACGGGGACTCCATGTAAGTCCACTGTGCTGGTATAACTCGGGCTATATCTACTCGCAGAATCGAGTTCAGAAAGGAATTCCCGATGTTTCCGATAAGTGATTTGCATTTTGACCTCCTCCACTACGTATACTCTGAGTGTATGTACGTGCTCCAGGAACTGAACGTCGATGACAATACAGCGCCGCTCATGCGCCTCCATCTGTCCGTTATACATCCATGTCCTTGAGTCTAGTGTCGTTACACCTTCAGAGCTTGCCATCTCGTATTACTCTCGGCCCATCGAGCCTCCTTTCACCTTATCTCGTACCTGCCCCTTCCATCAGACTCGGAGACTACTTCTCTATCTCCCCTTTTTGTGGGGGTCGGACGTAATTGCCTTTGGCACCCTGCACGCGAGGTTATTTGGGACCTGCCTACGGCCCTTTGCGTTCACACGTTTCCGATTTCTGAATGTTCCTTCCCCTTGTCTTTGAGACTCGCTCAATGTTCGATCTGCGTCTAGACCGTACCCCACGACCCCACCGAAAACGATCATTCCATCGATCAATCAAATCATACATTCCAACGTACAAGACAAGCCTTCCCTACGAATTCCCTGCGACCCACCCACGTATTTCCCCTCTTGCACTCCATCCGCTTTCCCCCTCGCACTCCATTTTCCCGCGTCCGCAGAACAACCGGAAAACATTTCCCGTGCTATACAGTACTGCTGGTTGATAGATATATACGTTCCTGGAACGCAATCGAACCCATGCCGGTTCCTGCATCAGAGTCAGCCACGAGCGTAGCGTGATATTCCCGAATGCTAAGGATGAGGCGTGGTCCGAGCACAAACTTCTGCACCACCAAAAAAAATTGAAGAACACCATTAAAAATCAAAGCTCCCGTAGAATTTGGATCCTAAAGACATGATGAGCAGTGAGTACATGCAGATTATCGTCACATATGAGCGCACCCAAAGATTTGGAATGAGAAGACAAAGGGTAAAGCAAGAAACACCAACAAAGCTAGCGTATACGGAACTTCAGTAGAAATAGATTACCACATTCATATTACAAGCTCACCTTGCAAAATAAAGCGCGTGAGATTTTATCAAGATTGTAAAACAGTCCTTGATGGTTGATCCCGTCGATGATCCGAGTCGCCGCAGGTCACGGAAGTGTTTAACAGCAATCCAGGCTGACAGATACAGTGCGAGGACCTCCCAAACAGCGTTGAGCATCCAAATAATTGATACCAGCAAATTGAAGTCTCCCGGATTGCTGCCAATGCATACACTGTTGCCGCTGAGTATGAACTCTTCTGGTATTCCTTTAATCAGTGTCGGATTCTTTGAATGATGTGTGACTGAGGCTTGAGCTCACCTGCTGAAGCATACCTGAGTGCCATTCCGGTGACGACTCCGCAGGTGATGTTGATTGCCAGGAAGATGACAACAAGGAAGATAAACACCTTCCTGGATCCAAGATACATGGCATACAATCGAGCAATCGTGATGACTTGCATCATATTTCAGTCAAGTCAATATCATTGAGGTATTGCGACTGGGTAGCTCACCGCTTAGCACGGCAGTCGCGACAAAATCTATCCAATCGATTAACAAGTTTGTGATATTGCCTGACACACCCTATTAGTGATCACCCAGGCTCGTAGGATCAAACAATCCAACTCACACCTATTGAGTTATTGGGTTGAGCCGAGTTCAATGTTCAGAATTTCACTCACCCCTACATATGTGTGCGTTAATGGGACGGGAATGGAAAGTATCAGTGCAGAATACTCACTGCATCTGTGATCGAGACAAATGGCATATATTCTGTTTTCCGCCGGTCAGAAGAATTGTATACAGTGCACATGAGACATACCCAGAATGTCGATACTGGTCGTGAAAGATGGGCGATTAGTACAGCCCACTTGTAAGCCTTGTGAACGTACACAATATATGGTACTCCAATGTAGCGGATCTAAAACATTTTGGAGTCAGCACGACTTGCCAATCACGCGATAGTATGACATGGGTACGAACGACGAGATACAGAACAGTCATGAGGGACCAGCGCTGCCTCTACCCCAGGTTCATTGTGTTCCCCTCAGGCTTTTTTTTCTATAGGATCATGTCGCTCACCCAAATCAGCTCAATCTATGACACGATTCTTAGCACGTTGGCTGCTGCGGAAATGGGGTCGGCCTACCTCTTGTCCAAGTGTTAGTACTGGAAATATTATTAGAATATATGAGTGGATGTCGAACACTGTCCTGCTCACCCCAATCATATACCACCACGGCGGCGACGGCAACTACAAAAAGTCAATATCAGATCGATCGAGACTCCACCAAATGATATGACGAACCTATCCAATAGCTGATAAAAATAGATGAATTAACTGTCGGCCAATAACTGGGATCATCTGAGACTACAGTCATATTTGATGCAAAGCGCACTGTAGGTCGAAAGAGAAATCGCGCACGGAGGAAAAGAAGCCTGTAACACGGTGATTAGCAAGCGCAGCACGGTTTCTAATTGTACAGGCTGTGTCGATTGATACTGCATTTCAATGATCTTGTGTTGAGCCTGAAAAATTTGTGAGTGTAAGAGTGAGATCTGTCAAATGAGAAAAGACCTGATTTTCGGATCTTCATCGTGCCCAGCAATTTCATGGGCAGACTACGAAAATTGCATCGTCGTTTGATAGTTCCACTTATTCAAAGGCTTACGGCTTTCAGTCACTCGTTGTTGCCGTTCACGGGACCGGTAATTTCCGAATGTTTCAACTAACCTTCCGATCAACTTCCGATCATGGTTCGAGCGACAATGGTGTGACTCTCATCAAAGTATATATACATGCGTTCGCTCAATCTGTATCTAGGCGTATCCACGACCCAAGGACGATCTGATCGGCCCGTCCATCGATGAAGTCACACACATCAATGTTCAAGGTAGGTTTTTTGTGATCATCTTTTGCCTTGAATGTGCTCTGACTTCATGCAACCCGTATATATGTTCCTTCATTCTTCCTGATAGCCCAGAGGTGAAATCGCAGGTCAGGGTTACCGATGTATAATCAACCTTCCAAGAATCACGAATCATCTCTTTTTCTCTGTGGTCAGAAACAGGATAACTGCAATAGTCGGCACCTTCAGGTGCGCTTGATGAATCCCGACTTGAATTTTTCCCCGTGCTACACAGTACTGCTAGTTGATATATATACACGTTCCTGGAAGGCAATCGAACCCATGCCGGTTTCTGCATCGGAGTCGGCCACGAGCTTAGCGTGATATTCTCGAACGCTAAGAATGAGGCGTGGTGCGAGCACAAACATCTGTACCACCAATACAATTTGAAGAGAACCATCAAATATCAGAGTTCCCGTATATGTGTCCTACAGAAATTATAAGCAGTGGTTACATACAGATGATCACGACAGAGCGGCGCACCAGAGAATCCGGAGAGAAAATCCACAACATCAAGGAAGAAACACCAACAAAGCTAGGCAAGTCCGGAACTTCAGCGAAAAGAGATGACCACATTCGTATTACAAGCTCACCTTGCAAAATAAAGCACGTGGGATTTTATCAAGACTGTGAAACAGTCCCCGATGGTTGATCCTGTCGATGGTCCAAGTCGTCGCAGCTCATGGAAGTGTTTTACACTAATCCAGACTGAAAGACACAGTGCGACGACCTCCCAAACAGTGATTATCATCCAAACCATTGAGGCCAGAAGTACAAGATCCCCCTTAAATTCAAAACTGCACATATAGATACCAGAGAGTATCATCTCCTCTAGTGTTCGTCCAATGAGCTTTGGTCTTCCAGCCAATCAGTAAAGCTTACCCCCCACATTATACTTGAATGACATTATCGTGATTACTCCGCAGGCAATGTTAGCAGCCAGGAAGGTTACAATGAGAAAGATAAGCATCTTTCTAGATCCCTGATACATGGCATATAATCGAGCAATCATGACGACTTGCATGATGTTTCAGTTTAGTCAATATCACCTAGATATTTCAGCTGGGTAGCTCACCGCCCACCATGGCAGCTACGACCACATTTGTCCAGTCTATTGCGTAGTTCATAATATTGCCTGAAATACCCGATTAATGATTGCTCTTGTAGGATCAAACACTTAGACTCACACCTGTTGTAGTCATTATGTTGAGCCAAGTTCAATGTCCAGGATCTCACTCACCCCTACATGCGAGTGCGTCAGTGCGACGGGAATGACAAGTATCAGTGTGGAGTACTCACTGCATCTGTCAATGACACATGAGGCATATCAACTGCGTGTAGCCAGTAAGAAGAATCAAACACAGTCACAGTGCATATGGGACATACACAGAACGTTGATACTGATTAGACGGGTTATTAGCACAGTACCAATTTGTTGACCTTGAAACATACACAGTATATGGCATTCCAATATAGCGTATCTATGAAATTTTGGCGTCAGCACAACTTGCCGACCACGCCATAGTATAACACGAGGTACGAACGAGGAGATACAGCACGGTCATGAGGGACAAGCGTTGCCTCTGCATGGTATTCTTCCTCAGGCTGGTATTCTTCTGATGTAGGATTGTGTCACTCACCCAGATCAGTTCGATCTATCACACGATTCTTAGAAAATTGGCTGCTCTGGCAATAGGATCGACTTACCTCTTGTCCAAGTACTAGTACTGGAAATGATATGAGGATAAGAGCGGTTGTCAAACATTGTACTACTCACCCATATCATATACCACCACGGCAGCGGCAGCAACTACGAAACCACAAGTCGATGTTAGATTGAGACATCACCAATTAATGAGACGAACTTGTCCAATAGTTAATAATAAGAGTTGATTTGATGTGCGGCCAATGACTGGGATCATTCGAGACTACGGTCATATTCGAGTGGTGGGTGTAAGGGAGTGGTGAACTTTGTGGATGACGTTCGTGCTAGATATACCACCGTTCAGTGTTTGTATCGCCAAACATGATGGGGATGGATATTTACTCCTACCTCGTGGTCCTTGCACCATCGGGATATAAGATAGATGGCCGGGCGTAGCCCCCCGAACTCGAACAGGGCTATATCTGACATAGGGTCTTCGAACCCAAAGGACAATAAAATATATGTTTTTTAAAAAAAAGAAACGCATCAGGAAAGTTCAAGCAGTCATGTCAGGAACTTCAAGCACAATTTTGAGGTATTCTTGCTGCACTTACATCAATTCAAGAATTCTAGATATGAAACCATGTAGTCATCGATCTAACACAAGTCTAAGTGTGTGATCGATTTAGAAGCATATGCACTGCACTCGCTCGGCCTCGCTGGAAGAGCCCGGGGCGTTACAACCCCCGTGATGGCCGGGCCCTTTACAGGTCCCATTCTGTTATGTGGTCTGACACCAGGGGAGTCAGACAAGAAAAATAAAGTGAGTGGAAGCGGAGAAAATCTAACTCACCCCCGGACAGTGAATAACTCTCCGCAATATCTCCAAACACACCCCTCAACGTCAGATCGCTCTGCTCCTTCTCGCCCTAGTATCTGTCACCTCGAACGTGGCTATCGTGATTGCGTCAAAACGGCTAACATAAATATGGTAAGCATGGAACGAATGCGATGCAAAGTGCACTATACTGAATGCATCTTGCATCTCGTGTTGATTGATACTGTGTTTCAATGATCTTATGTTCTGGCTTGAGCTTGTAAAAGTTGTGAGTGTAAGAGTGAGATCTGTCAAACGGGAAAAGAACTGATTGTCGGATCTTCATCGTGTCCAGCAATTTCATGGGGCAGACTACGAAAGGTTGCATCGTCGTTTGATAGTTCCACGTATTCAAAGGAGTGCTTATGGCTTTCAGTCACCCGTTATTGCCGTTCACGGGACCGGTAATTTCCGAATGTTTCAACCAGCCTTTTGATCACAATCGATCACGACGTCGACACACTAAAATTATCTAGGCCTAGCTACTATTACTCCAGCGTGACTCTCATCAAAGTACAGAAGAAGTTGTGGTTGGCGCCTTACTGATACTTTGTCAGGTGCGATCGGCACGTTCTCATTTGAAACCCCGATTCTCTTTCTCTACTTCCTACTCAACACACCTTATCTCCTTGGTATCCAGAGGTCGTGCGCAATCGTGATAGAGGAATTCATTCCAGCTGTAAGTCTTTTTCTGAATCATGTTCGATGGCATGTTGTTGAACCATGCATGATACAGACGATTGTCATCGCTGACTCATTATCTCAGAGATAGGCTGGTTCATGTCAGTAAGATCTGCAATGTCTTGACACCCTGCATCCACCCTTCACGCACGATACGGATCAGTGTTTGAAAATTTCCCAGGATATTGACGGTCTGCTATCTCTGTTTTATTCACTGCAGCCCAAATGTATTGTGTGCTTGTCAGCAGACCTGATGCATTATCAGTCATTCGGGCTTCACGAATCACAGTCACTTCATCATCACCTTCGTGCGCAAACAGATGATGAAATGGGTTGGCGATGGATGATCGCTACGTCTCATGTCATCAGCTGTCTGGCTTTCGAGCATCAGATTGGCATTCGTGTTCGAGACCGGCCTGCCGCTTCCAAGCGCTGACAAGGATGCAACCCTGTCGTTTTATATAGAACCAGTCCGGCTCGAGCGAGGTGTGTGATGCGACGACACGGTCCTTACTTCTCTAACGAACTTTCATGCAGATCGTAGTAGGATGATATTTTGGACATTCTCTAGCCTTCGAACTGCGGTTATCACGGAAAACATAAACTACACGCGATCAGCGCATGTCGCCACAGTACATATAGTAAGTGACATCTCAACCTATCGAGGCTCATCCCATAATGACTGGTTTTCATTGGGGGTCAGTAAGAACATGGAGCGTCTTGTCAAAAGATACAGTCTTGCGATATGTCTTTGCAGCTAGTTCAAACTCTTCGGCTTTAAGGTAGGTGTCAGCGGCTTTGAGGTCCTGTCCTCCTCAGGCGTAGCAATTTGCTGAGGTGCGGTAGTATTGATGTCTCTCGTTGTCCGTTGCAGCTGCGCCGCAGTTAGCAGAGGCATCTGCTGCCGTGATAAAAGCTCTTTGTTGAACGTTAAGCAAGGCCACTCCGACACTGGAGCGCTGCTTCCCGTAATACAAAAGCTTCGCAAACATCCACTTCGCGGCGAAGGCGAGCGCGCTGAAAGCAATGGATAGCCTGCGAGTAGCGCTGGTGCAAGAACAAAGCTTCAAGCCTGGTCACCGGCCGCTAAATACTTACTTACTCTCAGTTCATCAACCCTCCTTTCACCTTATCTCGTACCTGCCCCTTCCATTGGACTCAGAGACGCCTTCGGCCACTGGTGAATGTTGATGATGAATATCGATATTCGCCACCCTCCATTAATATTCGTCTAGCTCAGATGTATGATAGTGCGTTGGCCCTCTTTTATATATAGCGGGACTGATGTGTTATCAGCCCTCTGGGCTTCTCTCATTACTGACATTTCTTCTTTGTGTTCGTGTCCATACAGGCGATAAGTCACCTTTCCGATCCATTGTGGAAATGCTGGATTATCAGCCGACCGAGCTCAGATATGCTACTTCCCTTCCAGTCCCCTTGCTTTTCATTTATCTGGTCGAGATGGATTATGACGCTGAAGTACTGTGCATTATTCAGCAGGACCGATATGTTATTAGCCATTTGGGCTTCCGGCGGTTACTTGTTCTTCCCTCTGTCTTTGTGCTTAGACACACTACTCGTGTACCTGAGCCACCAGGTGGTGGTTCGGGGGTGGTGCGGCGTGCAAATACTTTCAAATCATTATCTGCTGGCCCTAGGGTGACTCTGATTGATGTCAACAGGTGGATATATGGATATCAGTATATCGTTCGGTGTTTTACTCTGACGGTCGTGGTTAGCAGGATGGGCTTCAATAGATCATCGGAAAGGTCCCAATGATAGACGAATTTCAGTCGCATGGATGGAATGCTACCACAGTGCGACTCTGAATAATGTACGTCAGAATCTCAGAACATCATTGAATAGTATTTCAGTATCGGGCAGCAAGGACCAGTTCGGTTGCTAGACTTTCCGAGTAATTTCAGCTTGCCACTTGGTGTATATGTGGGCAGGTACTTGGTTCCAATAGCGATACAACAAGAAATTGTTTGTCCCAGACCTCCTTTCAAATATACATCGAAACACCATAATTTATGTAAATAAATATCAGAATGAATCCTGCGATAAATTTCTCCTCCCTGCAAAACACCCGGCAAGCATTTCCCGTGTTACACAGTACTGCTAGTTGATATATGTACACGCTCCTGGAAGGCGATAGAACCTATGTGGCTTCCTGCGTCGGAGTTGGCCACGAGCTTAGCGTGATATTCTCGAACGCTAAGTATGAGGCGTGGTCCGAGCACAAACATCTGCACCATCAATAAAATTTGAAGAACACCACCAAATGTCAGAGCTTCCGTAGAACCTGAGTGCTACAAAAATGATAAGCAGTGGGTTACATGCATATGATCGTGACAGAGTGACACACCAGAATATTTAGAGAAAAACTCCAGAACATCAAGCAAGAAACACCAAAAAAGCTAGCACATGCAGAACTTTAGCAGAAAGAGATGATCACATTCGTATTACAAGCTCACCTTGCAAAATAAAGCACGTGGGATTTCATCAAGACTGCGAAACAGTCCCCGATGGCTGATCCTGTCGATGGTCCGAATCGTCGCAGCTCACGGAAATGTTTCACACCAATCCAGACTGAAAGGTACAGTACGAGGACCTCCCAAATCATGTTTATCATCCACACCATCGAGGGAAGAAGCTTCAGATGCCCATCATAGCCATAATTGCAGATATGTGCACCAGAGATTATCAGCTCCTCTGGTATTCGTTTGATGAGCTTTTTTGTTCTTCCACCCAACCAGTAAGGCTTACCCGATACAATATCATTGAGTCCTGCTGTCGTGATTACTCCGCAGGCGATATTGGCAGCCACGAATACTACAATGAGAAAGATAAGCATCTTTCTAGATCCCTGATACATGGCATATAATCGAGCAATCGTGATGACTTGCATGATGTTTCAGTTTAGTTATTATAACCGACATATTTCAGCTGGGTAGCTCACCGCCCAGCATGGCAGCTACGACCACATTTGTCCAATTCATTGCGTCATTCACAATATTGCCTGAAATGCCCGATTAGTGATCGCCCTCGTAGGATCAAACACTCCGACTCACACCTGTTGTGGTCATTATTTCGAGCGAAGTTCAACGTTCAGGATCTCACTCACCCCTAAATACGAGTGTGTTAGTGCGACGGGAATGACAAGTATCAGTGCGGAGTACTCACTGCGTCTGTCACTGACACAGATGGCATATCAACTGCATGCAGCCGGTAAGAAGAATCAAACACAGTGCATACGAGACATACACAGAACGTAGATACTGATGAGATGGGTTATTAGCGCATCAATTTGTTGATTTTGAAAACATACGCAGAATATAGTATTCCAATATAGCGTATCTGAAACATTTTGAAGTCAGCACAACCACGCTATATTATAACATGAAGTACGAACAACGAGATACAGCACAGTCATGAGGGACCAGCGTTGCCTCTGCCCCGAATTCATTGTGTTCTCCTCAGGCTAATTTTCTTCTGATATAGGACTATGTCACTCACCCAGATCAGTTCAATCTAAATCACCATTCTCAGCAAGTTGGCTGCTCCGGAAATAGGATCGACCTACCTCTTGTACAAGTACTAGTACTGGAAATGCTATAAGAATATGAGTTGTTTTTGAATATTGTATTGCTCACCCCAATCGTATACGACCACGGCAGCAGCGGCAACTATAAAACCGCAAGTCAATGTTAGATCGAGACAGCACCAATTGATGAGACGAACACGACCAATAGCTGATAATAAGAGACGAATTGATTATCGGCCAATAACTGGGATCATTTGAGACTACGGTCATATTCGAGTGGTGGGTATAAGGGAGTGGCGAACTTTGTATATGAATAATGATGGTGTTCGTGCTATATATACCACTGTTGAGTGTTTGTATTTCCACACATGACGGGGCTGGATATTGACTGCTGCCTCAAGGCCCTTGATCGATAGACAGTCCTCGATCGAATCAATGTAGATTTCAGAGCGTGGACCTGCCAACTAGTATCACGTATGTGAATGTTGGAACATCAGGAAAGTTCGAACAGCCCGGGGCGTTACAGCCCCCCTGGTGGCTCTTAACCAGTCCCATTCTGTGGCACAGGTTGACATCAGGGAAGTCAGACAGATAAAATAGAGTTGGTAGAAGCGGAGGAAATATAACTCACCACCCCGGACAGTGAACACCTCTCCGCAATATGCCCAAGCACAACCTTCAATGTCCAATCACTCTTCTCCTTTTGATCCTAGTATCTGTCCCCTCGAACGCCTCATTGGGCTATCGTCATTGTATCAAAACAATTAACAAACACCTGGTAAGCATAGATATAGAATGAATGCGATGCAAACGCACTGTATTCAATGACATCTTGCATTTGATGTGATGGTGACGTATCACACCGCAAGACATCTTGACTCATACTATACGACGCCATCTGTAGGTCAAAAGAGAAATCACAAATGGGAGACAAGAGGCCTGTAGCACGGTGACTGGCAGGCACAGCCCGGTTTTTGATTTCAATGGACATTGTGTTTCAGTGATCTTCTGTCCTGACTTGGCCGGTAAAAACTGTGAATGTAAGATGCACGAAGAACTCATTGTCGGATCTTCATCATGCTCAGCAATTTCATGGGCAGCCTACGAGAGTCGCACCGTGATGTCCACATCGTACACATGTATTCAAAGTCCAAGGAGAGCTTACGGATATGCCAGATATGACGGAGGTAGATCATGGAGCGAGTGTTGTCCACGGGACCGGTAATTTCCGAGTGTTTCAACCAAATTTCAGCGATCGTAACGCATCATGCATCATGTGTTATAACACTAACATATGGAGAATACAAGAACATACCTGTACAATACCTGTACCACTCTGTTCTCATCTCGCGTTGATTAACTTTAGGAGGTCCAGAAGCTAAACTAGACCTAGACATGAAGCTCGACGATCACGAGGCACATAGGTGCCAAGCCGCTGTGCTTCCGGCTTTGTCGCTTTGTCCGACTCATTGATGATTCTCATGATTAACGAAGGTCAGTTGCTGAGTATTCTTCATCTTCTCCGCGTCTAATTGTCATCCGCCAAGTCTTCCTCGGCCTTGACTCCATTCACTGCATGCAGCTGCCCTGAATTGGACTTTGTACGCCACGAAGATACTCCAAAATCGAACACCCTTGCTTCTTATTCAATCCATTCCTCCATAAAAGACAACTTCCAGCCATCATCCCCATCGATATAGTTGCTCTCCATCCATTCACCCTCCATCAACCCGCTCTACAAGCTCTTTTCCCCATCGGTGCACCAACGTTCTCCTTCTGTTCATTTCCATCCACGATTTCCCTCACTGTCCAGAATCAAGTTTCCACTCATCCTTATTAATATTTCTTTGCACTGACCCTGCATAAACGCTCACCCATGCTTGTCTGCGGGTATCGCCCTCCAGCTTATTTAGGGCCTCTTATTTTTTTGCCAGCTGCAACTCATTTACCCCGCTCCACTATGTACTCTGACTCGACGTCATGCATGACCACAGTACTGCAGCACTTGGTCATCTTGATTATCAGCTGTCCGAGCTCAGATACGCTACTTTGACTTTCCAATCCCCTCACCCTCTATTCGTTCGTTCCAGGTGGATGATGCTGCTGCAAACCGATGCTGTTCACCAGGTCTGATGCGTAATCAGCCATCTGGGCATTACGAATCACTGTCGCCTCTCTTTATGTTTCTTTGTGCTCGGATAGATGATAGCTAATGGATCGTAGGTGTGGAATCACTGGGCTATCAGCTGTCTGAGCACAGACACGCTACTCACGTATATGGGCCAGCAGATAAGTCCGTAAAATGACATAACACACATATCGTTTTACATGATTATCTACTGGCCCTAGTAGGGTGACTCTGATCGATGTCAATGTATGTACACAGTATCTCGTTCTGTGCTTTACTCACAGATGTATTTAACAGGATGGACATCAACAGATCATTTTCAATTTGCAGTCGCGTGCGTGGAGGACTACTCTCCAGCACATCTAGAAGTATGTATGCCAGGGTCTCAGAATATCGTAGTCGGTGTCTTACTGATACTTTATCAGGTGCGCTCGGCACATTCTGAATTGGAGCCTAGATTCTCTTTCTCTACTCCCTACTCAACGCACCTTATCTCCTCGATATCCAGAGGCCATGCGTGTTCGTGATAGAGCTATTCACTCAAGCCGTAAGCCTTTTCAAACCATGTTCAACGCCATATCGTTGACTCACTATCTCAGCGATAGGTCGGTTCGTGCGAGTGACATCTGCAATGTCTCGACACCCTGCATCCACCCTTTACGCACGATTTGTTACTCCTTCTCTTTTCCGTGGCCCAGATGGATGATAACTCGTGGCCTGGTGCTTTCTGCTCATCCCACGCATTATCAGCCATCTGGGCTTCCACGAATCACGCTCATTTCTTCTTCTTCTTCTTCTTCTTCCTCCTCTGATTTGTGCTCAGACAGATTATAGACATTTAGTTGTCCATTGGTTCGCAGGATTCTTTATGTTATCAACTGTCTGTGCTCGACAGATAATATTGGTAAGAGTCTAGATGTGAACTGACGCCATGACGGTTTTTAGCGGTGGTAGAGCAATTGCGATCAATGTATGTATGTCAAAACATTATCGTGATCGACGCTCATCTTATGTGTCGTAGAGCTCTTAGGCTATGAGCCGTCTGGCTTTGACAAATCGCAAGGCACCCGATAGTCCTTGGATGCACAGATTCCGGCGAAATTCTACGCAGCGTGCTACTGTAGGGCGACTTTGATCAATGTGTGTATGCATAGACTTGGTGTCTCGCAGTGAATGCTGATTTTCACAAGAATCACTGTCGCTTCTTATATTGCTTCCTGCTCAGAAACGTGATCGAACAGAACTCTGCATGCTCGTGGAATCGACTG